AAGGTACCACCTTACTCTCCGAGAGCCAAAGGTAGACCACATTCGTCAGACTCTGCAAAAGAGGAATACGCGAAAGCGGTTGAGGCAACCAAGAAGGCCTTTGGGAACGCCAGTTTCGTCACCAGATTCAAAGAGCCCGTCGACCTCTTTGACATTGCCGATGACAAAGAAGGAGGAGAATATAAGGTCGCAAATCACAGGGTTGATAGATCAGGTCCCGATGGAAAGAGGTAACTTGATGCACTTATTCAGGAGGCTGCAGCACTCGGAATAAAGATGCCCAAAGTGAAGGACCTTGCTCCTGATCCACAACAATTTCAAAAGGCTGGATATCGGCAGATTGAGGTAGCTTGCGATAGAGGAAACATCGAGATAATTCCACAATATGGAGTTACATTCTATGTGGAGTACTGGAATGGACCGAAGAGAGATGCAACTTTCACGGATCCACCAAAGATGAACCCAGCAATTCGCATCGACAAGTCCAGCGAGGAGAGTCAGTGGGTCAGTGAGATTAGCCATAGACTCAATAGACTACTCAGGCATGGAGTGGGAAAGCATAATGGGATTCAATCGCACCGCGGTCGAAAACCACATGTATCCCCGAAGTGCAATGAGGGTGGATGGGTGAACATCGATGAGATCCTGGAATATGATCATGTCTTCAGCGATGGTGTCAATATCAGTACTATCTCAGGCACTCAACGTGAGCAAGATACCAAGACAGATCGATACCAATATTTGCACAAGGCGATGTGGCATGCAAAGAAGTTGCAAAACAGAGTACGCTATCAGATTGCCGCCATTCGCATCCCAAAGGAGGATGTCTCACTCGAAGAGGAAAGGCAATACTGGGCAAACCTCATGTTTTACGGCACAGACGCACCGTCATTTCTGAAGCATGAACGTTGGATCGTTCCTTGCGCAATTCGAGCTGTTGCCTCTCACAATTCAGGAAGAGAGACTGTCCTTGAAGAGGACGTGTCAATATATCCTGTGTGGACTTCACATCTCATTCCAGAAAATGTGGCAATGCAGCTTGGAGGAAGCTTTCACATGACATCGCTTTCCAATATTGAGTCAATTATGAAACTAGGAATTGTCCCTGGTGGAATGGAAGGATATAGAGGTAGTGTTTTCTTCAACCACTTTGCGCCGTGGGATGATCGATCATCAAAGATTCTGAGATCAAGATGGCCAAGGGGGGGGACGCCCGTATGCCTTTATGTTCCAATCATGACTTTGAGGAAGCTTGGGGGAAGAATTTCGGAGAATTCCTACACTGTTGTCTTTAGAGAAGTTCCATGGAGATGTGTACGAGGTGCTTGGTATTGGGACGACCACGTTCAGGCATGGAGGAGACTCCTGCTGGGAAGCACCGGAGAGCAAGTTGTTCTAGCGGCACGTCATGGACTTTGGGTTGCTCAGAAGCATACCATCCTCGAGAGAGCTGACGAAGTCACAAAGTCAGCCTCGGCGACAGATGACAACGTCCAAAAGCTCGTGTCCCTTATCGATGAAGTAAAATTCGATGACAATGGAGAGCTGATCGAGGATTCCATCAGTGAGGAAACTTGGGACGAAATCATCTCCAGAACATGTGAAGGATATCGCAACGTGGATGGCACCATTTTGTGTCCATCATGTATGCATTTGACTTCTTCATCTTTGTCCGTGTGTCTATCTTGTCAAGGCAGACTACTCTCGTGTGGTATTCGCAACACTGTCATTTCCGATTCACCCGTTGATCTTGTGACCGACGATGAAGAGGAAAAGGAAGAGAAGGAGCCTGAAGATGATGTTCAAGATACTTTGGACCAGGCCACTATGGACGAGATCAGAAGGGCTTGGGAAGAAGACATCGCTCAAACTGAAGCAACTGACGACGACGAGGACATGGACAATCTAGATCCTTCCAAACCGTCTGATGGTGCAGAAAACTTCAAGGGTGACAATGTCGAGACCCCATCTTTCAATGAGGACGAGATCGACTACGGTCGTGATTCTGATCTAGAAGATGAAGATGAACGAAATATGATCATCGAGATCCAGAGGAGCACACAACAATATGAGGGGAAGAAACGTCAAGATGGTGAGCCCGAGGATGAAGACGTCACCGACGACTTACATCCGGAGGCGAATCGACCAACAGATCGTGACGAACCGGGATACTATGCACAGCATGGAGCGACCGAGTTCAATCCCGAAGAAGGAAAGGATAACGAGGATCTCCCCATCTATTGTCGAGTACCGGAACCTCGAATCTATGCGCATCAAGAGAGAGCCTACTGTCAGGACGTCTCCGTGAAAGCATCGGGTTTGATGGACAGGTATGTGGTCAAATGTGTGCTGAGCATGATCTCCCTGATGTACAAGAGCTACTATTGCACCAGCCTTACCGACTTCAAAGCAAATTGGAAAAAGAAGCGTCTGGATGTGATAAGCAAGTTCGGTACAGGAGATTCCACTGAAATCGATGGCGATGGGAGACCATTGGATCCAACAGATGAGATGATGTTAATCTTTGCCAACGATAACAATATTACAACTGAGGAGGCCTGGCACCGATTCAGAGGAGAGCAATTCATTTGCAAGGTAGCACTCATGATCCTATCATTTGGTCATACTCCGAATTCCTTCAAGGAGGAATATGGCAACTTCGAACACTCCACCGACTTGACTGATGCCCAGCTTGAGGAGTTGAAGGTGAAGAAAGCCAGCGCAATGACTGAATTGGTACAGAAGTGCATCCATGCGATTTATGGTTGTCGGACATATTCTTACTTTAGAACCGACGTTACATCACCCAACCACAAGGTGATCGATCCTCTGGACATCATGTACTCGAGAATGAAGGGCAAGTGGGAGAAGTCTATTCTGTTGATCATTGATCAACATGAGATCAGGTTACCCCCACAAGCTCAGGAAGTCATAGAGTCAATGGCCAGAAACCCCAACGTTGGACATACAGAGAGATGGATGAGCGTGGTAGAACATAAGCATGTTCAAGCTCTTACCAATCGTCTAGGCTTTGGAGATAGGGCCAAGGAGATTCAGGGCAAGAAGAAGCAGGCAGCCAAGGCAACAGCTAAGTCAACATCAACGACTAAGTCTGAAGCGAAAGCAGCATCTTCGTCAAGAGCTGAGGCAAAGCCAGCATCTACACCCAGAACCGAGGCCAAGCCGTCGTCAGCACCAAGTGAGGAGTCAAAACCTTCAACAGAGGAGAACAAGACGAAGGCTGTTCTAAAAGCCAGATCACATGATAAATCACCATCCAGTGCTACCGATGTGTTCGAGCAAGCCTTGAAGGAAGATCTTGCCGCCAACACACATGCAGCAGAAGGTACAACTTCTTCATCATCCCGAGGACATTCCAAAGGAGGAGGCCAATCTGGAACATCTTGGAGGCCGGCGCTAACGCAAGAACATCGCGAAGTACCTCAACCTTCTGAAAAGGGAAAGGGGAAGAGCAAGTCCAAGGGAAAGTCCAAGAAGGGAGAAGATGATCGATGGGATGCTCAGGGCAGCTGGGATCATCGTGGATGGAGAGGTTATCACCAGTGGTGATTTCTTTGAACGACTATGAGGATACCATGCAAACCAGGGAGGAAGTCATTCACCGGATGTCTATCTGACCTGAAACGCTGTAAGTGTATCATTGCAAATCGTCAATCTGATTTGATACCATGAGCACAATGGAAGGAAGACAATCACCGACTGTCTCTCCGACTTGCCGTTCTGTAAGTGTATCCAAACTAAAACCTACATCTTTTGAGAAGTGTGAAGTCAGTTGCCGATGTGACATCTACGTGGAAGTCACCAGTTCGGATCTACATCAAAGCGATGCTCTTTTGAGTGGACACTGAGCGAGGCCTCGTGACTGTCTCACTTGTTCAATTCGATTTTTTTTTCATAGGTTCTGAGCCATAGTTGCACACTTTATATGTAAAAGTCCGCTTTAGTCCAGCATGTTCTGTAGTATGAGCCTCATATGAGTCTCGCGGCAAATCATACAATTTCCCTTGCAGCACTTACATCCCTAAATTTTCGTGTGTGATCGGAACATATTGTTGCCGTTCACATGGGGGGTGCGAATGAAAGTGCAGCGACACGTACAGTGCAACTTGTACATATATATGTATACCATATGTACTTTGGCTCAAGATCAAGCGACTAGAAAAGGTGCGGTTTCCGTTCCGACGCTACGCCGCTTATGGACCGTCAGTGATAGCTTCAAACTTCGCTGATTAAGATCCACTCGCAATAGTTAATTTCTAACACCTACTTCCCTCCATCCAATGGGGGCCTTGGAAGCCAGCACAAGTCATGGTGCGATGCACGGGAAAAAGGAACCCATGAAGAAAGGAACGGGCCAAAGTGGGTAGCCAAGTGGGTAGCCTGGTGGGTAGCCATGGGTTAGCTCTGGTAGTTGGGAGGACTTTGATCCAACTTAGTACTCCTTTCGTGACGTGTCGGCTAATCTGATCATGACTGATCCCTAGATCATACTAGATCTGAATCTAATAGGATCAAAATAGTCTGATCCATCCCATCCATGGGGTTCTATATAGATTGTACCAGTATGTTCTGAAGTGACCCTGCTACCTGATCCCAGCTTGCTGGGATGGATGAGACATGGCTCGATGTTCCTCGGTTGATCATTTCTGTACCGAAGAGCCCCCGCTGTGAAGTTGAACTGGAGGGGTGCAAAGACATGGCACTCATCTTCCACGGGGTTGGTTCCGATGGTTTTTGACATGTCCTCAATCTTGCTGTGTATTATTGGCAAGAAAGATGTTGTTTTTTGTGGTTTCTGTTTGTTTCTGTGAGCATGCACAAACCCGCAAACTGCTTCCATGAATTCGGGTCAGTACTGTAGAAGTTACTGTATAAGTTGTAGATACATTCTAGTTGGCAACCTAGCGGAGCACCGAATTGAAGTGGCGGAGCACCGAATTGCTTCCGCTTGGGGAAAGCAGCTTCCGCCGCTCGACCAGGACCTTGCGCCAACTGGTGTACCCCGACATGTTGGAGCCTCGCTATCGCCTCGGAGCTGACCCAATCCTGAAAGAGCACCCGAAGGCACCACATCAGTCGAGTGACTTAGGTGACCAAGTTGACTTGATTGGAGAAGCAGAAAGGTTGCAGGTCAAGCAGTGGTGTTGGTGTTTTCTGGTGAACACATGGTCAAAACAAGACAGCATATACATATACAGATACAAACCGTCCCTATAGATATAATATATATATATACATATATTATAGTTTTAAACAGGCCGAGAGAGACAGGGAAAGAAGGACCAGGAAACATTTACGCTCTGAAAGATTTACATAGAACCTGAAAACCACTGGGTTGTAGAGGAAAATCGTCTTCCAAAGGTCCCTGTTCAGGTTCCAAGTTGATCTTACCAGGTGTATGCATGTTTCGATGCAGGGAGCCTTTTTCCACACAACATATCGCTTTGAAATTCTCCTCCAGGTATTCTCCTCCAGGTCTTTTTTCGGCTGCGATTGGGACGATCTGGACTGAAACACATGTTCTCACTTGGAAACACATGGGAAAAGATGTGTTCATGTGAATTGAAATATCAGAGATCCTCAACCAATGGGTAGACTGGTGTAATTTCCCATCTTCCAGGGGACTTTGAGAGGTCTTCCTATATTGAAACACACCCATTTTTCATGTTGGATTGCATTTTTTGGATGGATTTTGGGAAGCATCACCCATCACGGGCGGGTTCGAACATCGTTACAGGTATGCATGGGGAAACGTGTTCCCCAAAGATCTACTTCCATCGATGTTGTTGGCTTTTGTACGCATGGCAATGCCACCACCATAGATGGCATATGATGGCCTTGTTCTTTTCATTGGTTGAGTCGAGGGATACCCGCAGGTGACCAGGTCTACAACCAACAGCCACAGGGTACCAAACTGACCCCCAAAGGCCAGAAGGACTTCATTGGCCACTGGGGTGACAGACGCGGAGACACACCCGGTGCAAACCGACGGCCGGTCCACCGCGTGCGATCTGCAGGTGCTTCACCTCCCTTACGAAGGGCCTCTTCCCTCATTGGGTGAGTACCAGTCGCCCACTGCTGGCGCCCTGCCAGCCATCGTGCAGCCAAAGAAGCTGGAGCCATAGAAGAAAAAGAACATCCGAGGGGATCGTCGAGTCTGACGGATGCCCTGGGGGGGTTCGTCTCATAGAGAGTTGCTTGAGGAATAAGGAATAGATAGATAGCTAGATAGATAGCATTCCGACCAGCCACAACTGGAGGCATGCTGGAGTTCATCCTGTCAAACATAAAGGTCATCATACTCCGACTCTCAGGAACAGTAAAGATTGAGCATGCCAGAAAGGATCGTCAACAAACACATCATCCATGTGTAAGTGGACATAGACCATACAGGCGGGGTCGTTGTAGCCGATGGTTTAGTGGTGAGGTCCACAGGCGTTTTTTCAAGCTCCGTGGAGTTGCTTGAAGATGCCACTGTCACTTTCCATGGTTTGGACGATCCAAATTCGATTATACCACTGAAGAGATGTTTGGAGATGGTGAACATAGAGAGCTTGCCTTTAAGTTGCTTTTGGCATTTTCATGCATCTTCCCAACTGGTCGGCATTTGGTAGTCATTTTCCCAACAAGGGTTTGACTTGGCATAGGTTTACCTTGAGAGTTCATTGCTCCGTTTCAAGTCGTGTCTTTGGGTGTGGTTTGCTTTCTTTGTTTTTTCTTTATCATTCACCAGCAGTGGTTGTTTGACTGTCAAGTTCTCCAACTCTTCTCGAGTATAGCGACATGGATGTGCCATGCATATGCCATGTTGATCTTTGGCGTGAAGTCGGTCCGGCAACATGATGCTTTCACATTCAATGTCCAGTTTAAAAACCGCTGACTGCGCAGACTGGTTCATTGGTAGATGTTATGTTGTATATCCTTTGACAACAACAGAGTTTAGGCAAGGTGGATACGGGATCAGAAGGATAATATGATAGTGCAGAGGACTCCGTAACAGGAAGACTGTTGCATACAAGTGTTTCGTGAAAGATAAGCGCAAATTCATCTACATTGCCAAGCCTTAACTTGTTGAAACAGCCTCACCAACTTGTTGACTTAGGTGTTCGGTTTCCTTCAGCGGAGACACCCCATCAATGACCAATCATCTGCTTCAACAGCCACAGTGACGAATTGCCAGAAGATCAAGACAATTGGAACGCTGGACAGCAGCTGAATAGCAGCTGGACAGTCAATATGACCCTTTGCACCTCCTTATTTTCGGTCAGGCATTGAATCTCGGATCCAACCTAACAATCCTTACTACTACAGCCCACTTCGAGATGTGACATTCGTGTCACCGACCACCTGACTGCCTTGTGACCAAAACGCCTCGCGACTGCCTCGCTCACCTGCCGGTGATGGCGAACGAAGACGAAGCGCTGGCAGCAATTGGGAGATTTCTCAAGAGTACCTCGATTGGATGACGTAGAGCTCCAAGTGGGACGGCGACGGCAAGTTGGCAGGTTGGATGATGTTGGATGGAAAGGAGAACATATAATTACATAAATGCAAATTCAGATCTATTCGACTGACTTGGCCAAGCTCAAAACCTGGTACAGAAGGTATGTGGTATGTGTGAAGAAAAAAATGATGGGCCCAGCACTCACCTACTCCCAGCAACCTACTTGAGGTTCTTGTTCTGAAACTTGATCAAACACTCCCACAAAAACCAAGAATCAGGCTCCAAACAGGCCAGTTTGTGGTTTGATGTCATGTGGTGTTCTTCCCTTTTGCCTCCCCTCAACTTGGCTGTTCCAGGCTCGGGCTTCGAGGAGCCTGCAAAGCTCCTGGACAATGCCAAGGGAAAAGGCCGCCGTGCCGGGACGGGCCGCCACCGGTCACGTGTGAATCATTCGAATGACAAGGATGGTGGAGACCTGTCCCCTCCGAGGAAAACCAGCTTCGGAAAGGAGGGGGTCGCCAGTTGACATCCGTTTGACCGGAAAAGCAGTGTCACTTCAGATCCGATCCATAGGGTTTGGGGTCGCCTAGGTCCGATCGTCTAAACTTAGTGAAACTGAGGTTCAAGGGTGCTTTGAATCCTGAGAGGGTGTCAAAGAAGACACCAGCTCAAATGTCCAAATCCCAAGGCACAACTTGCCCCACCTTCGCGCCTTCGTCGAGTCGTTCGGCGTTCGTCCGGGCGTTTCGACTGGCGCGTTCGTCGAGTCGCCGCGAGGTGAGCCGGGACTGGCGGCCCGCTTGCAGGAACTGGGTTCGAAACTCCTGAGCCTTGCTGATGTGGCATCTGGGCTGAAGGAAACGCATTCGGCCGCTGGGGGAAGGCATTTTTCGACATGTGGAAGAATGGAACATGGCTGGACAGGTGGGACATGCCGTGTGACTGTGAAGTCCAATTGTCATCCAAGATCTATCAGATCCATACGATCTCAAAAAACAGGGTCTCTATTAAAATGACTATAGATTTAATAAAAACAGTCTCTATGACTAAAAACAGGGTCTCTATGTGCCAGATCTATAGTGACATGAAAATTACGATTTCAATGGACTGGCACATGACTAGAGGGCTTGGAAGCACGGAGGAGAAGAAGGACGAGAGAGAGGTCTTGCGCCGCGCCTTGGAAGGTATCTCAAGCAGGGGGCAATCAGTGTATCAGTGTTTGATCCCAACAGTTCACTGCAATATTCACCGCTCCAGCACCACCCAAAGGATAGCTACTGGATATGCCAGAGGTAAGGGGGGTTTACAAGCCATCCTCTGGCTGAGTTAGGTTGTATGAGGATGTAGGATGGGACACAAGCCAGGTGTTTCTTGTCGGAGTGTCCAGTTGTGCCATCGGAGCCCGCCGGCGGATCCACATTGGGTGTGTGGCTCATTACCAGGAACAGCTGGTAACCTGCAACTTAACATTATCGTACTGACCATCATCCACTGTTAATTAGCCAGGATACCCTGGCGAGTTGCACACTGCCAGTTGCACAGATCGACAGGATCAAAGTTGGCGTAAACCACCAAGATCCAAGGTGATGGTTTGCAGATCCACCACCGGCCACGCAGATCGACACTGCCAACCGCCACCAGACCGATGGGATCTGAGGCAGAGCGCGGTCGCGATCGGGGCTCCTGGACCGAGCAACTCCTGCGGCGCTTCGCAGATCAGGTCGGCACGGTGGGGGGTGGTCTGATGGAGCGATGAAACTGGAGAAAGCAGGTTGAAAGATGTTGAACATATAGGGCCCAGTTGGGCTGGGTGTGACCTAGCTTTGCTGATCAAGGTGATCCATATGCAGATGTCCTTTAGCCAGACATCTGCAGTTTTGTGGTCTGGTGTTCTCCTGCAAGTTCTTCGTGCATGAAGGCTTTTAATTTGTATAGGCTTTTTGATTGGGAGCTCATAGGTGGTGCATTCCCCGGAACAAACCTCTATAGTAAGTAGTAGAGGCTGTGTAGTTTCGCCGCCGTTTAGTATCCGAAACTCCGTTGATGCGTGATCACCCTGTAAAGAACATCTCTCCGACCATGTTGGATGTTTCTCCAGCCAATGTTTGTTTTGAAGTCCTAGACCGAAGGTTGGAAACCATTTCGTGGAGACGGGAAGAAATATTAGTTGATGACCATGCTCTCCTTTGTCACCCCTGCAAAGAGTGGGATGTCCTTTGAATATTTTTCTCTCTGGTAAGAACACCTGTGGTTCATCCCTGCTTGGGGAAGAATGGCTCCAGAATGGCCCAAAATCCTTCTAGTTGGAGGATGTCGTGAGATGGACATCTTGGAGATGAAAACACGGTGGCTTTTCCATATTCAACAGCACAAAATAAGCGAGCGGGCGCCACTACACTTTTTTGATCTCGTTTCAAACGCGCAGACGGAAATGTCATCGGAAACAGCGCAGGCATTGCAACAGGAAGCACATCTGCAAGAGGCGATGTCACAAAGACTTGACGCTTGGATCCGTTTAACCCAACATGTCGAAGCGTAGACGTGGTGTGTTTGGACATGAAGTTCAGAGGTTTGAATACAATCAGTCTGGATTCTGGTGGCTTCTGAAGTTTAGTATATTTTTTTGCAACAAGTACCAGTCCGAACTAAGTCGTGTACCGTGCACCTGGCGGAGGAACACAAATCATCAGTGAGAACATGTAAAGACCGCTTTGGGGAAGAAACAACATCCGCAAAGGTATGGGGGCAAGGTATTTGGGATGTTGTTTCAGCTGCTGGAAACCTTGGGTGTTTGCGCTGCGTAGTCTTGTTGTTCAGATTGAAAGCATACATACCTCGGGTGTCGAGAATCGTCGGTGTCGAGAAAACCGTCCGATGGGTGATGTGCGGGCACATTCGGAAGTCATCCGATATCCGACCTCCGAACCTGTGAGCTGTTTACCGGCGGTTCAGGATTGAACAACACATTAATCATAATATCTCTATACATATATAGTTTTAAAAATTAAATATATGCACACAAGTGTGTATTTTCCGCTCGGAAATCAAGGGCAAAGAACGGGTGAATCACGGGGTCTACCTCACACACAAACTTTTCCCAATTTAATGCAAACACAAGTGTCAACAAAACACAGTAATGGAACAATCAAGATCAATTGAATAACCACTCAGTTGGTTCACCATGTACAGGGCGTCACAATCGGCTTTATCGCAGCAGGCATTTTCACCGTTTTGTACAGGCTGCCATTCCACAGTCTAGCAGTTCCGTTCAATTAGGCTTTGAGATGTTTGGAGGAAGAATATCTGTGTTTTTTTCCAGGAATTCCGAGGTTTTTCCATGTTGCAAGAATATGGGGTTTGTCCGCACATCCGAAGAAAGGTTAGTGTTCAGGCTGGCATGGCTTTTTCATATATATATATATATATTTATACTTATATTTATTTACTTGCTCAGTGCTTTTACAATTTGCTAGCAACAAACAGGAAACCATATGAACCAGTTAAGACCAAAATTGAAACCGACCCATCATTTCTTCAGCCAAATCCATCCACGAGTTCCCTCCCTTCCCCCAAGTCACCCAAGTCACCTGAGCGCATTGCTGAGGCCAATGGCCTGAGAGAGCGCTCGTGTAGCGAGGTCACGACCGGAACTGGCCCCCTGGATGCCTGGTGCTGGAACGACTGGAAGTGTTGTGCCGAAACAATGAGACTGGAATAGTTGCTGATAGGCACACGGACCGGACTCACTAGCATGGAAGTGGTCACTACCCCCTGTTTCTAGAGGTAAACCTGTAGTCTTCCAAGGGTCCAGGCCATCCGCTTCCATGTGATGAACAAGAAGCTATTAGAAACAATATATCAGCATTAGCTATCGATCTTGGAACTCTTTGGAAGCGTTTTCCAACCACCACGTTTGAATCCACAGATCATGGGACCCTTCGTGGGACCCTTGCCGTGGGTTGCCGCAGCTTCACTCGTGCACGTTCTCCGCAGCTTCAGAACTTCAGCTGTGGTCTAAATCCAAGCTAAACACAGTCAAGGTTACCATGACAAATTCCTGCACTTTTCGGCAGAACTGAGCTTCGCAGCTCCAGGCTGCACTCCAGTTCAGCAGATCCCAGATGCACTGAGCAAGGTGTGACTTAGCCTTCGGACTTCATCAAACCCCACTCTTTAGATGGCAGATGCACGGCGGCTGTGGTCTTTAGTTCTGCGCCACATCCATGTTCGAGAGGGAGTTCCTTTTTCGATCTATATAGACCCCAAATAGAAAAGTAGATCACTAAGAATGTATTGGAAAGCATGCCATCTATTTGGAAAATACTCTAAATTCTCCAGAAAGGGATAGGAACTTGAAGGACCCATCGATCGGTTCCCCTAGCGTTCTGCCGTTCGATCGCTCGCGTTACGGTCGACGCGACGAAGAGTCCGGAGCGATCGGACGCGACTCGAACGGGGCGAAACTGGCCGCAACCTACTAGGAACTATATGTTCGCTATTAGAAACAAGAAGCTAAGAATTTGAATCTAATTAAATAGAATTGAATTAGAATTGAGAACATGTCATCACATAGCTGGCCCACTGATGATGTTTGACCAAGTACATACTATAAGTAGAGTTTCTTTGGGCTTCACCTGCAGACTGTGATGTCGTGGCCTGTAGTCATCAGGTTCTGCAACGCCAGCAGCGACTTCGCTTGAGCCATCCGCTTACTATGTGGCTCAGCAAAATGCTTAAGAGTCAAAAATGGATCGCTTATATTGAGAGGAGCCGGGCTGTGTGGAGTTCTCGGTCGGACTACGTAGTCACGTTAGTTACTGTAGCTGAGATGATCTAAGAACAGGGACAACAAGCATATGATGCACAAGAACAGGGAACTTGGGAACTTGCAGAACTCCATGAGGTCATAGAGGTCAATCCTAACTTCACCATCTTCAATCCAGACATCCCTCGACGTCCTCCACTCGACGTCCAGACGTCCTCACTCGTCCCGTCCCTGAGGTGCCTCGCACTGGATCCGAGACCCGGTGGACACCGAGACACCGGGACGCCGGGAAACGGTCGTCGGGTGTTCAACGGGACCCGGGGTGGCACGGTGGAGGTCGCTGGACGCAGGACGGATCTCCAGATGGAACTCGGTACCTCAACGTATGGCGCCAGATCAACTAACTGGTTTAACATGCGAAGTAAGTAGGCAATATACCCTTTTTTCTGTTTCTTTTTCTTTTGTTCGACCAATTCCAGCGACGAGCACCATGGATGTGTGGGGGGAGATCCCGAGTTCGGCCGAACGATGTTCCGTCAGCGTGCGGAGGTGGGTTGGGGGGTCGGGGCTCGGTCTCCCGGCCTGGCCCTAGTACTTACACGCCCATTATCACTCCGACACCGCGTGAGGAGATGGTTCATCCACTGCTAGTGGGTGGTTTTGGGGTCTGATGAAGCTTCAATGCATCTTCCGAAGTGTTGATTGGAATGAGCCAAATGGGATTGACTGATATAGCCCCTTTCAGCCCCCTTTGAGGGGCGAAAGGCCCGTTGAAGAGGACCTGAAAAATGGATGAGTACAGTAGGTGCAGCGCTTCATGAGTTTGGTGCAGAGAACCCACCCTCTGGGGTATATTGTGCGATTTCAGGCTGCAAGCTACGTTTGTTGGACAGATAACGAACAGGAAAGGGTGGTTTGGGTAGTTTGAACAGCCTAGTAGACCACCTGCGAGTATGTGGCCCCCTTTGTCCAACCAAAGCAGAACAACATCACCTGTTTGCATCCGAACCAAACTCTTGCGACTGATCGCTGAGGAGACATCTAATTCCAAAGAATTTAAAAGAAGATCTTCTCAGTCACTACCCTCTATATCCATCTATATCCTCTATCTCATTCCATACCTTTATCCACACATGGAAATGGTTTGTTGATGCTTTTTGGATGGCTGGTGTCCTCTCAAACTTACAGGTTTTGCCACGTTCATGATTTTTCTAAGGGTCTTTGTTCGGGAACATCTCTTATGAGTCGATGGTCCCGGAATGAATGAGGTGAGGCGATGGTTGTTGGGGGCCATGGTCCGAATCGTCCGCGCGATCTGCAGAGCTCGATGAGTGTGTCGGAGTTCGTGTGTCGATGATGTATCCTTTCGGATACGGATTCCAAGTATGACGAATCAACCCTATTTGGTAAAACGTAGATCCAACTGAAACTCTGGCCTCGCAAGTTAGAGTTCTTCTCCCCCTGTCTTTGTGCACCCTGCCCGTCTACATCCACTGGTCCACCCTGACACTTCCATCGTCGGCCACTGAAACACACCGGTCCACGTCGTCGCAGAGAGTTATCGATTCGATGTTTAAGGACGTGAACTATGATCCAGACATCACGGAAGAGTACCGCGATGAGACTCGGAAGAGTACCGAGATGTTGGATTTGTACCGCCGAAGGCGATGGTCGAGCGGGAAAGGGTCAGTTGTACCAGAAGGATGACAATGACATACGATGACTGTCTTGTCGTGTTTGGAGAGATGGAGGGAGTCCATTTGGGGATTTTCGTTGGTGTGTTGTTTGCACTGCAGTGTTTGTGCGTTTGTGAGCGTATGTGCTTTTAAAGATGTTTAAAGCTATAGTGCCTATTTTGAGTCCCACTATGAGCCAGAATTGCATGTCACATGTTTGTAAAAGACAATGTGCGACCTCCCAACACGAAGGTGGCCCATTCAGTTGATTTAAAAAGGATCATTGTTTGCACATATTCATACACGAGTTCCTTCTGCACTGACTGCCAACAAACAACTGACCGCCCCTTCAATTGATTGTACTACGGTTTCTTCTTACACTGACTGCCCACAAACAACTAACCGCTACTCTGACCGCCATTGACCTCGTGCATGATTGTCTGCGAGTGCTTCTTCTCCCAGGATTTGGATCCGGGATACCGGATTCGAGAAGTCACCGAACAAGAACTCATGGAGGCCAAACGAACAGAGACCGAGAGGTGGCTATGGCCACGCGGCGTGGTGGCCACGTGGTGGCCAGGTGGGTGTGGAAGAGGAAGCAGTTCTAAGAGATCTACAAAAACTGTTCTACAAAGAGAGGCTGTGAAAAAATGAAGGCTGAAGGCAGTGCAAGTGACAGAAAAAGGTGAGGTCACACACAGAGGTTCCTGTTAGCATGACACAACCACATGAACCCACACGGTACCACAAAATTTGGCTCACTGCCCAATGTTGCACTTTATCTTCCACGTGTAACAGGCGAAGTAAGAAGACCAAGCAAACCAGTTTTTTTGGCAGCTTCTCATCCCCACAAAGCAGCCTCGTATGTCCCAAAGGAAGTCAAGCATGTAGAAACCATATGACTATGGCTCAACCCAAATCAGACCAAGCTCCCCGATTTCAGACGTTCGTCGCCTAGTCCCGCCAATGTTGGGCTGGTGTCTGCATGGTGTCTGCCATCAAGTACATGGGGTCTATAGTGACTTCGTCCAGGAGATCCAGGAGAAGTACCAACGAGCGTTGGCCGCAGCGCCCGAGCTCATGCCCTGGGCACAGGGCTTGCTGCCCCCGGAGGCGCGCAGCTGGTGGACCGGGGACCAGTTGGATGGAATGAAACGGTGAAACCGGTGCAACTCTGGTGAAAACGTGTGAAACCCTATGGTTGTTTGATGTTTTTTGGGTGCCCGGAGCAGTCACATCCCTCCTTTTGCAGGCTTGAAGAAGTTTAGATCCCATCTCAAGGTTGGTCGCCTCTCACGTGCCAAGAAGGGGCCAGTAGAGCACAGTGTTTGGTTGTGTTGGCATGAACATACAGAAAAAATATGAAACATCGGTGAGTTTTTTTGGATAGGCAATCCCCCAAGGTACAAAGTGGTCCAGATTTTGCAGATGAGATTGGGCAGACAAACCTTGCTCGTCCCCCAACAAAAGATGCCGTTCCCGCAGATCTTCATTGGGGTACCAGGTTCTGACACCAGGTTTGGACTCACGACCCATTTGAAGTTTGTTCCACAATTCCTTGTGTTTGTTTGAGGAAGCATCGCCAGATTTCCAGTGATTTAAGATGAAGACCGAGAGTAATTACTTGGTCCAAAGACCAAGAGTAATAAAAGATCTAAACGCCAGAACCGTACCTGCCGTACCCTCTGCTCCAGCGACGACCTGCTGACTCTGCTGCGAAGCGCGCGAAGCACCCCAGGATCACTCGGGCGACCTCGCGGACGACGACGAGCTGCTAGGAACGACCTGAGGTTCTGGCGTGAGGTTCAGGTCGTTCCATGTGGGGTCACTCAGGCCTACATGGATATCACGAAAACTAGCTGTAGCCAGCTAGGTGGAGTCTGTCTTGCAAGGAGGGTGGGAACCCAGGACCCAGGATCTGGGCCACAAGTTATAGGCCATGTAGGCGGAAGTGGAAAATGGATGAACATGATTTCTTGGGAGACTTCCACGTGGCTGTGAGTCAGAGTGTAGGCATTAGATATGAACCGGTGACATCCTCAGAAGTTCTAGTTGGACCATCCAAAGCTATTCCCAAACACTTTCTTGTGTCTTTTGATTCGGTTGCAGACATTGGTCTCGCATCCTGAAGACCAATTCCATAACGTCCTTCCCTTTGACCGTGATTTGGGGCATTGAGTCTACACCTACCCAGTCAGTGAAGAATCTTTAAATATCTCTAAGATTTTTGGGGGATTGGCTTCCCCACTAGAAAATAAACAGGTGGAACAAGGGAGAGAATCTATACATTAGGTGGAAGTCGTTTCGTTTCTCTTTTGAGTGAGATCCTTCATGATACCCCGCCAGCTTGAGGTACCACATTTCATGGAAGTGCAAAACTACCTGTTCATAGAGGAAAGTAGTCTTTGCCGGTGGCCATGCCATACACTTCCATGTTGGTGAGTCAAAGTGTATTGCACAAATTGGCACACTGTACCTATACTCGTATATAATGAGTTTCCTGGTATTTCCTCGTATGATCGCGGCTCAAGACCCCACTGGAACGCTACAAACACAGCGGTTCTCTTTTGGCCGTGCCTTTAATCATTGTGCTTATGGTTTTCGGCCACATGGCTGGGGCGGACATCGGGGGTTGACCTTAACATTCATGCTTCACATGGTTTCGGCTTTAGGATCAGCACCACTTGTGTCACTGACTTTGATGTCAAAGTGCGTTCGCCAACTGCGGACGATGATGGACTATGACAGGGTTGGAGTGTCTGGGATACAAACCAAGAGCAAAAGCATTGCAAAAACAAACAAAAACATCACTTGCGGCGTTTGTGGAACCCCGCCGCAACTGGGAAGCGCCTCACTCGCAGCTCGAACCGGGAAGCGCCCGTCACGCTCGAACGCTCGAACGGTGCCCAAAACGATCCGCCAATTCCACATTCGGGTCGAGCGTTCGGGTGGACTGGATGCAGGGCTCGAACTGTGACCGAAGCAGTTTTCCAGTCAGCGGATGGTTAGACCATCAGTCAGCTTTAGAATCAATCTCAACTGGTTTGCCTAGTTCTGCCCTTCATTTCAGTACATTGGAAAAGAAAACTGCAACTTCGTGGCACGCGCCCTGTTTTCCAACGTTTGCAGGAGCTCCAAAGACGGACATCGATGAGCTTTGTGCAGGCTGGAAACGACCCACATGGACGGAAAAGCATTTCAGCACTGGTTGCAGGATCGGCCCGGGTCCATGATGACCAGTGACCAGCCATGTGAGTGTTCTTGGCTGTGTTTTTGAGGTGGAAAAGGTCATTCGATGCAGAGACCGTCTTGGAAGAACAACTTGGGATCGGTTTTTCACTGCGGAACAGCTACTCAGCTCAGCTACGTACCAGCGACTCAGCAACCGTCTCGTCCATGAGCACCAGTTTAAACACAATACCCAGACACTCCATGTATGCCATATATGCCTACATTGACCCCCCAAACCACCCTAATGTAGGCATATATGGCATACATGGAGTGTCTGGGATATATAAGCCTGTGCACTCAGCTGAAATAGAATCAGGGTGCCGTGGACGGCAAGAAAGGATGACCTTCTCCCTCTACAAACAGCTGGTGAACGTCCACGAACACCACACTTCCTGCGCGTTGTGTTGGGCTTTTCTGGTGCAAGCCTGCATGCAAAAGCGTGCATGCTGCTTTTCCTCACGCAAAAGCTAAGTACGTCAGCCCTCAGGAAGGGACTCATGACTGCAAACCAAGCAGGGAACCGTTGATGATGCTTTTCATCGCTTATGGTGATATGTATGGGTGCGTCTTCCAGACATCTGGGAGACCCCGTTTCGCCCCAACCGGGTGTTGGTCCATTGGTTTCGGAAAAAACACACACACTCACAGGTGTGGCTGAAGCGCCTTCGGCCTCCAGACCGCCGACGCAGCCGCCTTCGGGCTCAGTTCACATCTTCGGCGCAGGGTTTGGGTGAAGCGACCTGTTTTGGGATCCAAGGACAACCACTGGCGATCTGATCCGAAGTGATCCGAAGGATTCCCAATGTTTCTAGTGTGGGAGAAAAAAAGGAACACGTGACCGGGTGGCACAGTTCTGTGGATCAGCTGTAACTTTACCGCTGATTGATATCTGATTGATTCCTTTCAAGGTCAAGGCCCCGTGAGACGATGCAAGGAGTGTGGCGGAGTGAGTGCACACGTTGGGGGGTGTGCCAGCCGTTGCACGTTGATGTAGGAAGCTTCTGTCAGCACCCCCGAATCTCAACCTTCCGCGGACCGGACTCGCGGACCGGGGGTCCTTTGACCATTCGAGCTCCAGACACGAGTCTGACCGAAATTCCATGGATATCTCAAATTCACTCGCCCTAAAAATCCGAACGGCCCGTCCATGGGTCTGGGGTCCGGGGCCGGTTACCAAACCCTATCTGTTGGTTCGGGCAATGCCCAAGTTCCAAACACAAACCTTGCGACCCAGTCGTGTACGAGATGCGCTGCGTTGGGCGACCTAGCGACCTGTTGAAAAAGTGCCCCCCTCACAGGATGGTGTTCAGTCCGGCTTTCGCCCAAAGAGAGGATTTCGACCGCGGCACGGCTTCGCTTCGAGGTCGGAGAGCCAATTTCATGGAGATGTTCTAGTAGGTTGGAGGCCATCGCTATTAGCAGGGGCGCTACGAACAGGGCTCCTGGCCTTACTACTAGGACCAGGAGCATCTAGGAGCAAGAAGCTCGCTACGAACGGAACCAGTTGGGCCTCGCGACTCGATCGGAGCGAGCTCTCGGACGCTACTAGGAGGTTGAAGGCCCATCGCTACTAGGATGGGCTCCCTCCCCCTGACGCGTTGGCTTCGTTGCCACTAGGGGCTCCTGGCCATACGGAACAAGGACGCGAACCGAACGGGGCAGGTTGGCTACGAAAGGGGCTTCGTTGGTCCGAGGTCCGGCGAGGCGGACGGAACCACCGAGCACACCTTGGCGGATGCCATCAGGCGCGGATCAGGTCCCACGGTTGGGGGTGGGGTATACGACGGGTGGGGGGGGGGTTAGTAGGGGTAGATCAGGCAGGACGCAGTGCAGGACGCCTAGGCTGGGTCTTGGAGGCACCTGCAAGAGGAAATCTAGTATGCTAAGCCAAGGGTGACTTCTTCGGCAGATTGGCATCTTTGAGTGATATCTAATGTTCGATCCTAATTAGTAAGCGGAACAATCCAGGGGGTCTGAAGAGTATCATTGCCACCAAAAGAAGTAGTAGTAGTAGTAGTAGTAGCAGAGTAGTAGAAGATAGTAGAAGAGATAAGTAAGGTTTTGAAAGGGCAGCTATAGCTCAGAACAATAATAAAGTTAACAGATCTTTTCCCGTAGGGCTCCAAGTTTGCTTATTAATCCCACCCCCTAAACAATTCATACTATTCAACTAAGTTGTTTGGAGCAATGAAATCGTTGAGTTTTAATAAGCATGTTTTAAAACGATGTCCAGGTCAGAATTCCATGAATCAAGCAAACCTCAGGAGAGTTAAGTAAGGATTTTAAAGGGTGAGCAATAGCAGAACAATAGAAAAACAAACAAATCTCAAAAAAAAACACCAAGGGTGTAAAAACTGTTTATTGTTCCGACCCATTAAACTAATCAGGGTCGGTGTGTCAATAATTTGGCGAAAACTGTTTAGAATTCCGTCCCATTACACGATATAATTAGGATTCAACATTAATGACTATACGAAAAGGGCGGCTTGCAACTTCTCGCCAAGGGTTTGGGACTACAGCAGCTGATGAGATGTTCAGGTCAATCTGGTGCAATGGCAATGGGATATTGAAGTCCCATGATGAAGAGAGATCCACAAATTTCTGTGAATTGGCGCGGCAAGAGTCCACCAGACCAAGCTCCTCCAAATAGCGGCAAGAAATCTCAGATCAGGTTTTCTGGCTAGAAATTGCAGCAAAGTAAAGTTCAATTCAAATCGTGAGAAAAAGAGCCACTGGTTGGCAGAGTGACTACTGGAAGACTATATGTTCCTATGCCAACCAGTGGCTCTTTTAGCTCTCAGGGGTTCACACAACACGAAGGGGACGGAGCTCACCTCCTTCTGAATCGGACATGAGGACATGATGTAGGATCAACGGGTGTAGAGTGTAGACATCCCCTTCATATTGAGGCTTCCAAACGATGGTGCTTGCCAAATCAATGATGACATGAAAACACTTTCCATCATAAATCCTCAAGCCATCTCAAGCATTTGAAGGCCTTTTTGCTGACAAAAAGTATCTTGCACCCAAGCAGTACAACATCATTTGATCGTGTTCAGTCATGTAGCCTGCGCCCCACTGCAGTTTCAGCATACTGCCAGGCATGGAGTGCCATGTGCTGGGGATGCTGAGGCCGGCGCACCAAACGACCGAAAATCCTGTCGTACCGACCATGCGAAATGTGACCATTCGACAGCAGGTGCTTTTCGGAGTTTGATTTGGCCAGGAACTTACAGATACTCTGGAAATGGGAATTACAATTATTCTAGTCGTCTTTTCCATGATCATCAAGAGCCACCCAGTTGTGTGTGTTTTTAATGATGTTTTTTGGGGGTCCAAGTGGTCGAATTTGAAAGCCTTTCTCGAGCCGAAACACTCCGTGGCAAGTCGTGGCTTTCTTTCAAAAACATTGGTGTAGTATCAGCGGGCAATGTAGGCATATATATGCATGCATGGAGTGGTTGATTGGGAAAGCAAGCAAGATGACCACAGTGGCAGGCGCAACGAGGTTGATCCATGCTGGCAAAGCAAAAGCAGATGCAACTTGCATCTCATGTCATGGTTTCGCTTCTGAAAAGGCTTCAACCTTTCGCGATCGATTTGATGTTGATTGATTTTGCTGTTTTAGACCTTGTCATGAAGGAGAGGTGAAGGACTTGAAAGGACTCGAAACGAGAAATCCACTTTGCATCCTACTGAGTGCTTCTCCACCAGCCATCAGGTGTCCACCAGAAATCACATTGCTCTTTCTATATAACAGGTTCACTTTATCATCCCATATTCAGACCATCCGTCATAATAAATTGGGCAAATGTATTATATATAATTGAATGTAACTCCTCCAGTGCCATGGATGGTTTGGGATACTTCGTCACCACCAAGTCACTATGAACCACCTGATCAACCTCCATCATCCAATGCCAGAATGGGTTTCAGTGAAAATCCATGAACATCTACAGGAAACCCATCGTTTTGGGGGTGAACATGATGGGTTTCCTGGCCTTTCTTATAGATCTTCCCTCTCCAACCACTTCCCTTTGATCCGTTCTTCTGCTCTTCCCTCTACCAACAACAGCTAGGCCGGGCTCCCCTCGCCCAGCTCGAAGTCCGCCAACGTGCCAGCCTTTGGCGGTGAGGCCGTGCAGCGGGATCGAAAGAGACACTTGCGGACGTTCATTGGGTGATGTTGATGTTCCAAAACCAAGGGTAGTTCCCTTCCGAAACTGAGGAAAGATGTGTTTTTGCTCTTTGTTCAAAGCAGCTGTGTTTTCCTACAAAACCTCAAGCAAATCCGAGTCTTTGTTGAAAGAAACACCAGAGAGAAAAAGGATTCAACCAATTTAAAGGTTACTGTATATTTAAAGTTGTCGTGTATAAGACTGTATAAGTATAATAGGATAAACTTGAGATTGTTTACCTAGAGTATTCTGGTTGGCATCAGTGTTTTCCTTCTTTCGCTCGGCCCCTGAAAAAGCCGCCTGAACATAGACCAGCAGCTATTGATCGAGCTGATCCCGCTGGGTTTTATCCAAAGGGGCATGGTCAAAACCACCTCAAAGCTCTGGTCACGGGGAACGTGACCATCATTCTGTTCATGAACTTGGTGTGTTTTTTCGACGGCCTGTTGCATTTCGCAGCCTAGTCTTAGCCTAGCACTATAGTGACTTAGATTGACTCAGATGTGCTTACGGATCAATACTCTTAAAAAGAAATGATTCGATTCTCGAAGAACTCCAGTTTAGCTGGTCGAAGCGGGTCTTGGTCTTTTCTTCGGCGCAGCGTCGAACTCTCGAGTTCAGGACTTCATCGACCGGTGTTGTTTTGCGCACCGCGCTCGGTGGGTAGAGGTCCATGGTCAATGCAGAAAGTCAACATGAAAACAAGTCGCATTTCCTTGGTCTTCTATTGATCATATCATGATATCATATAATCATTATCATATTAATTTACTACCTATACTATATATAGTTATATAACTAGGATTAATTAGGATTAATTACTATATTAGAGGTGTATATATATATATAGGTTGCGGTATGTTATGATGATATATAATTTGTCCCTTTTGATGCACAAACAGATGCATCACAGGGCCATTCATGTCCAAACCGACCTCGCGCGGAGGCTACCACGGACTTACCAGGCAGTGATGGGGTGCTGCTCACAGCTGAGTTCGGACTGAAGTATCCAACGGTTCACACAATCAGAAACTGGGTAGAGGTGTTTGTTTAGCAGTGTTTCGCTTCTTTCAGGTTTGCTTTTCTTGTTCTTATTGGTTCTCTACATTCATTTTAGCAACAAGTCGTTAGACGATTCGTTTGTGTACATGTCTCAGGTCCGGAGGCATTTGGGGGGTCACATGTTCCCTCGTTCCCTGTTCTTGGAGACCCTCATGAAGTTGCCACAAGGGATCAGAAATCATACGATGGGGGAATATGGGGGGCAGGAAAGGAAGGGATCGTTCCAACCGAAGAACATGAGTCCAACACGATCAACTTGAGTGAAACATCTGACCAAGAGATCCTGTTCTCAGACATGTTCTCACCTCTTTTTTTTTCTGCCTCATGCGATGGCCACGGCATGGCACCGGATGGCGGCAGCGTCTTGCTTACCACTCGCAGGCTCCGAGAGTGTGGCAGCCACTGCAGCTCTTGCCATGGCACAGCCAGACCCAGCGCCTAAGGCCGAAACTGGCACAGCGGACCGGGACGTGGACGGGCAGATGGTGCGAGGGCCACAGCAGGGCCACCTACAATGGGAGTGTTGTAGATTGGTGCGCAGCAGTCCCGAGAGACCAAAGAATTGGTCTTGAGATGTTTTTAGAGCCGTCAGTGAGAATTGAACAGAAAGATGGACAAGGGACCTAGGACAGAAACGAGTTGAGCAGATGGTGCAGTCTGAAAATATCGTGAAGCAGAAGACACTGCTACAGTCCATGGACACCTCCCCCCAGAGGCTCAAGAGGTCAACGAAAGGATTCCGGAGGATTCTCAGCGTGGTGAAATCTTGGAATTCGATCATATCACTACCCTGCGAACCCGGGAGACCAGTTTAACGAGTGCATATGTATATCTAAGAACGACTTTCACTGCATGACTCTGCACGCCCGCTCTCTGATCACTTTTGGTACACTTCCTCCGATCATCGTCGCTTCCAGGCATCCGACATGGTGGTTCACGGGTGTTCCACGAGTGTTTCACGGGTGAATCACGGGTGAATCACGGTACACACCCAGTTTTTCTAGTCGCTAATCAAGTTTAACTAGTCTCTAAGCAAGTTTAACTAGTCTCTAAGCAGGGTCTGTTCACTGTGAATCACGGGTGATATATCATATCACATCCTATCATATCATATCATATCATATCATATATCATATCATATCATATATCATATCGTTATCAAATATTTTAACTCTCATCTCCGGTCCAACATCTCCAATACCTGGACACCTCTAGTCTGATCGAATCCAGTCGTCCATTTCGTCCCACCGCGTCCCACCGTCCGACATCGTCCCACCGCGTCGGCGACCGTGTCAGAGGCGCTCTGTTGTGCTCGGAAAGAGCGGAAGAATGATGGCCGGCCGCCCATCCGTGCCTGGGCCGGAACGGAGCCGCCGCCGCTCGCCGTTGGTGCTGCCGGAGCCCGGATCGCTCCCAAGACAAAGACCCCCTGGAATCCGGTTTTGGCACTTGGGAGCACCATTCCGGATCAGTTCCAAAAGGAATTCGAACTACCCAAACGAGTACTGCATGGTGAAATGGTGCTTGCAACTTGTTTGAGGGACGTTTAAAGAATAATAAGCTTATAAACATATTTAATGCTTTTTGAGCCGACTCAGAACGTAGATGTGAGTCATCACATGTCATCACGTACTATATATCACGATCACATGGCCCCTGAATAAAGCATTCTTCAAAACTGTTGGACATTCCCTTGCTGAAGGTGCAAAGTTTTCTCCGATGTTGCACCACCTGATCGCAGCGATCCAGGCTATCCAGACTCGGGCGACAGTTTTTACCCCGTGGAACTGGATGGAGTTGTTTATGACTCCTTCAACTTGAGGACAGCCACGCGCGTGGGACACGTGGGTACATGACCGTGACCGGATGGTACATGCGGGATGGCAGGGATGTGGGGGAACGTGGTGAAGGTCTAGTGGAACAGACACCAGTTGACACGCCAGGGATTACCAAGGTACTCTTGTGCTCACGTGAGAAGAAATCATTGCTCAATCCAGGTGCCAGGGCACTCTTGGCACAAATCTTCAGCTCCCAGCTACGACCCTCGCTTCAACGGCCCAGCCTCGCTCGATCCGTTGGGATGCGAGGATGATGTTGTACAAGTCGAGCCAAAGCAATAGCTGTGTGGTTCAAGTGTTTCCTTGTAACTGGTTGGGAAAGTCTTATCAAGAACCTCAAGAACCTCATGCCAACAATAATCCATTATTAAGAAAAGAAAGAACACCTTCCGGGTCGGTCCTGATCAAAGATCAACGGCGAGTCCTGCGACGGTGACATGTTCTAACGGGCGTTGGTTGTTTTCCTTGTGTAGCTTGTTTTCCTTGCGCAGCGTTGGCAAGCATTCCTGGGCCTGCTTTGCTTTTATTGTTTGGTTCAGTCGCGAAGTGCAAACTTCCTTGGCGTCTTAAGATAAGGAGTCCCCCCGCCAGCCATGTGTGTTTGACATTTGTTTGGTCTGCTTAAAAGACGTGTTAGACATGTGTTTAAATCGTTATAGCAGCTGCTTCCAAGGGGTCACCAATGGACAACCCTACGCCGATGCCTTGACACCCATTGAAAGAACCCGTTCATGCTAATATATAGGATGCGCTAGTCCGTTTCAAGATGAGTTTCTCTTTTTCGAGGAAACCGTGTCGGACGACTTTCAAGATCTTTCGGACCAACCTGAGGCACTCTTTCCCCTAGCCTTCACAGAAGCATTCAACACTTTGAGAGTGGTTGACCTCCTTCATTGTAGTTCTAAAATCCGGAAGAGTAAAAACACTGTTTTTCTCTCACTTGCGCACACTCTCTCTCTCTCTCTCTCTCCTCACGGACCCTGGTTCTTTGGTAAGGACCAAGATTACTTATAACTTATAAGTATTTATACTAATTTATACACATTTTTCTGGTGGGTAAAAACTTTGGTTTATTAAACCCTGCTTTATAATTTGAACAAAGACAAACATTGATGTTCAAAAAGATCGTTTGAACAACCACTGTTCATTGCAAACATGCTAACGATCATGGCTGTGCTTGCTCGTTTCAGGGTTGATAATCGCCCCTGATCACCCACCGTGCGAAACCGGCGAGGATCATCCATGAGCGAGATCGCACGGGGTTCGAAGAGACCAAGGACTTTCCGATTCGGTTGAACAGCAACCTGGATGGAGTTTGTAGAGTTTTCTGAAGATGACGGAGAGGAAGAACCAAAAGAAAGGGTTGTGGGGCTACGACCAGTTCTAAGCAAAAGAACATGTTCCTATACGTTCCTACATTACTACTATATCAAGGGATGATGGGTCATGAGTCTGAGTGGTCTTGCTTTTGCATTGAAGACACACAATCGCCATTTTTTGTTCACCACGTTTTTTCTTCAGGGGTGTTTGTCGGGCCCCGATCACACTCTAGCTCACCTCGCCTGGTTCCTCTCCAGACTGGTTCCACAGCACGCCGGGTTCGACACCGCGCCTGCCTGTCCGCCTGTCTGCTGCACCCGGGACTTGAACCCCGGTCCGACACCACAAGGGACGACGTCATTACCAATAGGCCATACCAGAGCCCGACGTTTCTTGTTCGGAAGGTGTTTGGGGGGGTTGGAGGCCTGAACGAACTTGCACCAACTGATCTGTTGGAGTGGCCGTTGGTCAGTCGTCCATCGCCACCGTTGTCACCTTCATCACCGCCAGGAGAGGTATGTCATGGATTGTCATGGCACGTCACAAAAACCCCACTCCAACCGCTGGACTATGCGACTGGCCACTGGACAGGGAGTTTCTTGAATTAAGATCAAGACGTCAGAACAGTGTCCGAAACATTACCGTGCTCGCATGGTGACGCTCGGTTGACGAAGGGGAACGACCCTCCAACATGGGGCGGAATCCAGAAATCCCTGAACTCACGACTTCTGGTTTTGTTTGGTCCGTGTTCTTCGGGAAGGCTTGCCTTCCCCCATCCCCCAAGCCGTTCGGCGGCATGGCCTCCTCGACCAACGTCCACTCCGAGGCATTGTGGCTGGTCGATATCAGGCGAGACGACATGAGTCGGGCGAGTGGCGAGGTCGTTCGCGATGAATGGTCGTCACGAACATGTCGTGTGGAAGTGCCATATTGAAGATGTCGTGAACTGGATGGGTCAAGGATGGGTCAATAAATGTGCCCTGAGTGAACTTTGACATTCCAAAGTTTTGTTCCTTCCATATTTGATGGTCTAAAATACATTGATGGTGCATACAGCCAATGATCTATCGCATGACCTTGCAATCTTCTGTGTTAGAATTAGAACTCATTCACCACCAAAAGATTTGCGCATTCATCGATCCGCGCTTGGTTGAAAAGGCAGTTGGAGTACCAACTCGGCCAAACGAGGTCTTGGAGTACCTGGGCTCAGCGGCCTTTTCCAGAGCTGTTCAATGCCTGGACCTGGAGACCAACAGGCGCGTCGGACAGCCCGGGGGTTTCACCCGGTGGACCACCTGGTGGAACTGGAGGAAGCAGCGGGAACTGGGCAGAAGGAGGGGTTCTGAGCCCCTCAGGGTTTGGCGAAGTATGCGATCGGAGCGGTGGTTCCAGGCAGGCTGTGGGACACCACTCCAACTTCCCATTCCGCAGAAAGCGACATTTCGACTCGTGTCCAATGTGGGTGTAACATGGTGTAACCCATGTTGCACCAGCCTCTCCATCTTCAAGGACCAATTGTGGATGTGTAATACGGGCGCAAGTCTCACGACGTTTTAAACGATCTGTAGGGTACCAGATTCAGGTGATGGGACCTGGGATGTGCCAGCAAGCAAGGAGGTCATGAGCATAGTACCCTGCACATCGGGGCTGTTGCATCGAGTGGACACCGGATTCATCCAGCTGGAAACCCACATGATCCCGTATGCAGCACCTTGCGAAGACAAGCTTTCCTCGCTGGCCCTGGCCAGGATGGTTTGCATGAAGATCATCAACAACAACAAGGACCCGCCTGGCCACCACGGGGTCCGTCTTCCTGGCCACTGGGCGTGTAGGGTCCATTTGACGCCTTGTAGCTGGAAAGCTCCGATTGATGGGGTTTTCCGTGTCCAAAAATGAGATCAAACGACCTTAGCGGGAGAACTCCCAACATCTTCCAGAATTCGAGGTCTCGAAGCTTTCCCTGCACATTGATTTGGTCGAATTCGAGTTTTCCAACACTGTGCGGTCGTGGTTGTGCAAACCACTAGGAGTGTGAACCGTTCTGCCGCTCCCTTTTTTCTCCCTCAGTGGACTTGGTTGGCCAGTGCGAAAGGATTTCAGGTCGACAAGGGTCGACTGTCAGCTCCCATCCAGAAAGTCACGTGACGTCACGTGTAATTAAGCTCTCTTCATTGCAACTGTGGTTAAGCTTCAAATTCTTCAAACCCAAAGACCTTGAACCCATTGTTGAATCTCAAGGAAGTGGAACATGTTTTTCACTAGCCTTTGGTCACTGACCCCGTAAGGCTACAAAATTCCAAGTGACTCACTGGTCACATCCCTACTGGTTTGCCCATGTTTGCCCTGTAGTTCCCATCATTTGCGCCCCATGTCCTCCCTGACCTCGACGCCCGTCCGGACGACAACATCGGGGCGGTCGGTGGGAATGAAGGACTTCTTCGATCAGTCCTTGGATGAGATCAAGCTTTTGCGGTTGATCCGTTCGAACACCGAAGCCTGCCGAAGCCTGGGAGCGGTTCGGATGTTGCATGGTGTCGCTCTCCGTCGACTGGGAGCGGTTTTTTGTTGCATGGTTTCGCCCGACGTCGACTGGGAGCGGGTTTTGTTTTTGTTGCATGGTGTGGACGGGCCATTGGGGAGTCGGGAGCGGCGATGGTTGGGTTTTTGGGGAAGAGGACCGAATGGATGGGCAAAGAGGTTAGGTAACTTCTTCGCTCCGAATGTGGCATTCCAACGATAGAGGACTGGTTTTTGCAATGATCTCAAAGGACCAAATCTTGTTCTTCACTGATTTTGGGTGAGTCCAAGTGGTTGCTGGCTTTCATCGTTGTGGATGCTGCGTGATCACTCGACTGCCCTGACGACGGAGCCAGCACTTCTCAGACTGAGATGGTCTAGGGTTTGGTCCCTGGTACACAGTGGCTAGTGGATGATTCAAGAATATTCAAGACGTGGTCAGCTGGCAAAAGAGAGAGTCATTGAACACTCCTGCCTCGTTTAAGAAACACATAGAAAAACCATGAAAAACCTTTTGAGGGTGAGGTTGACATAGGTTGACATTAATTGAAGAAGAGATGGAGTCGATCAACTAAGCTTTCAGCCTGGCAAGCCGGCACCAGACGTTGCGCGGGTCGGTTTCTGGATTACAAGCGGTGGCCACCACCTAAGTGACAGCCAAGCTAGGGTATGCTCGTATGCCTTTCCAAGGGACCGGCAGTGCACTATCTTCGTTAGCTAGTCTGTCCAACCTAGGATGTACTAGGGTACAGTAATTTCTTCTGGCAACATCGGGGTATCAAGGTATCACCGCCCTTCCCAAAACCCACGTGCTTAAGTTGTAGTAAGATCCCCATGGTATCGCCCAATTTCAATTGTTTGTCGACGACAGGGTTTCACAGTGGCCATGAATGTCGTCTTGTGTCCATTTGGTGCACCAAGCACCGTGACGTTCCACATGGTGGTGTTTTACTGCAGATGGTTCGACTGATGTGTAGTACTCACTGCTCAGGAGAGCCTGGATGAGAAGAACTGTTTGGGACTGGTGGCGGCTTGCCGTGAACTATTGGTGGACTAGCCGGTCGCCTTGCCGACTAGCCTTACGTGTCGCCTAGGCGGCCAAAGCTAGCAATGAGAAACGACTTGGGATGCTGGCTCGGGGCTTATGGATTCCAGAACACTGAGGGTACACACCTTCAGATTTGGCGGAGAAGCAGAAGGGTCTCGTGAATGGAACTGGTTTGGCTTCACGTGATTTCAATGGACGACGCATGAATTTGGCTGCAGGACATGTTGGACATCAGAGGGACTGAGGGACCCACCCACTAGTGGCATGTTCAGGGAAACTAGCTTCCACTTCCACAGCATCTTCTCGGGTCGCTGAGAGAAGGGCACGGTGCTCGTCTGGTCCTGTTTTCCCCTACCCTGCAGAGGCAAATCATGTTCCAGTCAATTGTTCACATGGACACCAGTCAAGTGTTGTTTGACGCGGATCTCCGGATCTCAAGAAGATAACAATGCAATCGAACAAATTCCGATGGTTTTCCCATTCAACATACCAACCAGAAAGGAAGCAGGAGAACACCGAGGATCGAGATGGAAAAGGAGCTGTTTCCGGCAGCAGATGGTCCGATCCAGGCTTAGGGTGCTGCTACCCAAGAATCATCTCCATAATAAACAAGCATGATTGCCTCGACTAGCACTGATGGCCTGGTCCTGGTCAATCATGATTGTTTGCGAAGGTACGTTACGTGCTATTAGAAAAAGAAAAAACAAAGTGGTATACACAAAGTGGTACACACAAAGTGATATAAGCAAAGTGGTACACAAAGTGGTATACACAAAGTCATATACACAAATGGTATATACACAAAGTGGTATTCACAAAGTGGTCCTAATGGCATTTAAAAAAGCATACCTGATGCTATGAGCATGGTTTTTCTGAGACCAATCTGTAAGACCGACCCCAAGCAGCCGAGAAGCCGCCGAGAAGCCGCCGAGCCATTCACAACACCGCCACAATCGAGGCTGACCACTCCTTGAAATGATCATGGGCCAACGAGGATGGCATGGTTTCATAAGGATCACCATGAAAAAAACAAGAAGTACCAAACAGGTGGTCTTTGTCCATTTCCATGGGCTTCAGGGAGTATGTAAGCTCAGATAGGTGATCCAGTCGCTCGAGGACTATTTCTATCACAAGGAGCATCTCATCATCGTGACCGCCCGAATGCCCAGCTGGGAGCGATGGTCCGGCCGGAGAGCGTTCCTGTCGCTTCAGGTCAGGAGGCTGAATGATTGGCTCCGTGTTTCACACCATGTGCAGCTTAGTGATTCCAGGTGCAATGCCCAGGCTGCTGAGCTGGGGAGTTCCTGTGGTGCTTGTTCCAGGCAGTTCCTGTGTTGTCAAATCATTGGGACTCTGTCGGATCTCTCACTGTTGATTTGGAGAGGTACCTATCCATCCACCATGTGCAGAAGATCCAATACCATCCAATATCGACCTTCCCAGGCGAGCCTGGGCCCAGCTGAACATGGAAACACCATATGTTTCTCTTCAGTTCGCAACTTGGATTGCTCTGCCTGAAGAAAATGATCTGACCATATCTGACCTGAACATGTTCTTTGGACTGGACTGTTCCTTTACAAACAGTTTTTGAGGCTGGTCCTGATATCGCTTGCCCAAAAGAAGCTATGAACACCGCGACCTCCCAGCCTATGGCTCACATCAGCATCCTCTTCTCCCCTCGTCCATCCAGCTCCAAGGAGCTTCTCCGAGATAACCTCTACGAGTTCTCCAAGTACAATCGTCAGGCCGGTCATGGGCGGCCGATCACGGCTTCGAAAACGGTCGATCCGCGCGAGAGAGCTCGGGCGGAACGGTCGCCTCGAAGTCGAAGGAGACCAAATCGACAGAGGGAGGCTTCGAAGGAAGCTTCAGTTGTTCGGTGACAGAGAAAACAGGTTGCCTACAAATGGGACTGATATTGACCTACCACCCTGGTTCAACCATGCTAGCGTAGGCATAATACATATTCATAATACCAGGACCCTCCAAGGAGTGTCTATTTATAGCCCCTTAGCCGTTAAGTGAGGGGTGTCCATTAACCACCCCTTGAAGGCCCTGATATATTCCAAGTAAAAATAGATGGTCTTCATTTCAACACAGCCTGGTGGCCAAGTATGGACAGTGACAAGTGCATGAAAAACATCTTGGGGTAGGCCTCCCTGGGTAGGCCAAGTGCTTTCAGTAGATCTGGTAGGCCAAGAAACCAACCAAGATCCATAAGAAGATGTTTTCGTAAGTAGATTCTTTTGATATACTTTTTCCATTTTGAGTCGGCCAGTGCTTTCCAGCCAATATCAGCCGTACCATGCGTACCGAGAGACTTCCGAGCTTCCTGAAGGGCTTCAGGAGGCGCGTTGGCTGGGCTGGCGCTGTGGAATGAAGATTGAAGGACGTGCTTTGTCCCTGATTCCAAATACAGGATCCTTAACCCGAATGATTCTCTCCCTGTCCCTGACTGGATCAGTAATGAAGGACATAATGCTTTGTCCCTAATTCTCCAAGAACCCTTTGTCCTTTGAAGGGTCTTTTCTTCCAGTTCGCCTCATTGAAACTCTTCAATAATTAGCGCGACTTGAGAGACCATGGGAGGACCCTGTGCCGGTCAGTGAGCAAGAAGAAACAACCCCATGAAACAACCCCATGCGCCTACCTACCTACAGATGTTTGGACATGTTTCGAACCATCTTATTCCAAATGGACCTGAGCTGCTCCGGCTTCCGAGCTGCTCCGACTAGGGATGGGTCCCTTGAGCCACGGCCTGGCACGGGGGTGTTCGGACCTGAGCACCGCGAGGCCTGTGAGGAACCATACTTCACCTTGGGACGCTTGCAAAGGCCGAGGGGTGTTTTTTCTCGGGGGGGGAAGTGGCAGGGCGAAACCATCAGCAGCTTGTTGGTATCTTAAGGAGGGACCCCGATCACCAATGGGTTATGTAGTTGTGGTCTAAATTCCTTCATCCAGGGGCTACTGGCCTACGGGGGTGTTCCTATTACACATCCAATTTGTTGCTTAATCAGTGCCTCTCGGCACGATTCTTGCTCAGCTCGGTCCTCTTCTGTACTGGTAGGGACCTAGGAGGTGCCAGTCCCTCCTACCAGGTAGGTGCCTTCCTCACCGAAACGACCTTGGAAGATCTTCCAGCCCACCCCGTTTTGGAGCCCGTCAAGCCGTTGATGTGCGGACGTCCGCGTTTCGCACATAGAAGATGAGACTCTTGAGAACACCGGAGGTCGTGGGATGTGGATGGGGATCACTCCACTGACCTATCACATCTGATGACTCAGATGACCCACTACGTCACATGGTCGCCTTCCGTGCGCGGCCTGCGCACGCGCTTCTCGCGCTGCGTGATTGCATGCTGAACTCACCGCGATTCAGGATCTCGCAGCAGGTGCTAGCAGCACTGGAGTTAGGCCCTCAGTTTGACCTGTGACATCCGTCTGACCATCTATGACCCTTTGGAGCCGCAGATGATGTGGCAGATGTGGTGCGTGTCGCTGCCTCCAAAACACAGGGACCCATGCAGATCCAAGTGGTTGGGGTCCGAAAGTCAGAGAACGAAGGCGATCACGAGCCGAGTCTCCATCGTTTGAGGGGGCTGAACTTGGGTGTCCTGAAGTTCGGGGAGTAACGCGGAGTCTCGAGTTGAGGGTCGAACACCTCGTCGTCAGGTTTTAGGTGGGCTGAGCCCCGAATTGGTGCGTGGACATCGGACCAGGAATTCACCGAAAAGTGGTGCAGATGTGAGATTCTGTTGGGAAATATGTGGTAAGTTATATATTGATATATGGTATATGTGGAGGTTGAGAACTTACTGGTACTCAACTTGCATGCCTCCAGCTCTTTGTATGGAAATTGTATGAACCCTTGTTCAGCTCTACTGCCCCGAAGTTCATCCAGACCTCCAGCTGGACCTGGCTGAGATGTTCATTGTCCAACAGTGAACAAAATGAAAGTGGACCGCACGGCCCCCCCCAAAAGACACCGTTCTTCTCATACCATCCGCGAGAGGGAACACTTCCACCTCTCGCCATAGTTGTGGATGCTCCGGACGTGGCTCACCTGCGAGGCCGAACGGCCGATCGTGGCCGATCGTGGCCCTGGCCGAGGTACATCCATCAGCTCTACCTGATCCATGCTGATTTGAAACCGGAGCTGCTTGGTGAACATCGCACTCTGCCGTGGCCTGCACACAATCGTGGCAGGCGGAGGGCGGTGAGCCCGGTGAGCGGGCGGGACATGTTCAGAAGCTGGAGCGTGTATATGTCGTTTGATGTTGCTAACTATAGTAAAAAGATTTGAAAATAATCGATTCGGCAAAGGTCCCTACAACTCGTTCCCCAAACCAAAAACCCTCGTGGTGCTTCATGCCAACCGCCGCGCGGTTTCGAAAGCACAGCTGGTCCCAAAAACTCCGCGCGCTTCGGACACTCCCCGCCGGGCAGAGTGAGTTCGGTCCGAGGAATATTTTGATCAAGAGCTATTCGCGATGCGAGGCTTTCGGGGTGGTGGATGGTCGATGGAACCCGTAACAAGTGCAGGTCACTTTTTTGGGAGACTGCGAACACCCCACTTAGAGGTCGAACAGGTGGAGAGAGTGCAGTTCAAAAGATTTTGCAGAGAAAACTGAGGGGGTCAGTAGAAGGGGGTCAGTGGCATGGCTTTTCAGGACCTGGGCTTGTTATAAGAATTTAAGTCCAGTTCTGGAAGCTTCTGAGTCATGTTGATAGATCATGTCTTCAGCCGAGATGGAGAAGCATTTGGTCAACCTGGTCAAACACTGAAAGAGCATGAAATAGCTACGTATAGCTGCTATAGCTTGCTGCGTTGGACGTTTGATTGGAGCACCTTGGAGCTTCGAGCCCACACGCAGAGTTGAGTGGACGGGTGGAGATAGACTGAGTAGCAAGGAGACTGACACAGCAAGTTGCAACGGAATTCAACCTACCCAGTCAGTAGATAACCTGCAGTACACACAGAGAGCTGCAACTTACACATCTATAGGCATTGATGGGTTTAACTCCCCGGTGTATCCATACAGGGAGCCAACAGGGAGCAGCACTTGCCAGGAACCAAAAAGACATCACGTAAAGACATCACAGTCCTTGCAATGGGTATCCCACCCGATTCTGCCTGAACCCCCCCCGATGCGTTGGACCAGACCGCCTGTTTCTGACCTTCACGCGAGGTGAAGGTCATCGATTTCGGCTCCAGCTGTTTCGTGGATGACTCGCTCACGAACTACGTGCAATCCAGATCCTATAGGCCTGGGGGGTGGAGACCGGAAGTGGAACACCACAAGATAGGCATGGGGCGAGAAAGGTAGCGTTCTTGTTTCGTTCGTACCAGCGATGCCCCCGAGACTCGGAGCGAACCTGGGGAAACGTCAACACATCCGACGTGCGCCGGGGTGCGATCCGTTGGTTCCCTCGGCAAGTAACTGACTTGGACAGAAGATGTTTTCGCAGAAGTGTGGGATCTAACAAAACCTATGTGTTCCTATATGAAGCTATATGAAGCGCAAAGGTTTGTCCCAGAGCGGTGATGTTCTCAAGCCTCTTCAAAAAGGCTTCAACTCATGGCGCTGTGGCACGCTGGCTGCCAGTTTCTCACATGATTGAACAGGATGAGCTTTGGGCAGTTGGATGTCCAACTCAAAGGCCATCCAAATATACATAGTGATTTAAATATGAGTCTTATTGATTGCCAAATGGAATTATCTCTATAACATGATTCTTATTGATTACAGTATCTACGTATGTGTGTCATATTGTTTTATGTTCTGTTATATACACCAGTTGCCAGTCATTCGATTCTTCTTTTGTTTCGCCTTCCGGTCGCGGAACCGCTCGCTTCTTCCCTGTCACAGGGCCCCGGAAGTGATCCTGGGCTTGGCGTACGACCAGAAGATCGATCTATGGCCTCCCGGATTGGCGACCGGTTCGGAGGACCGGAAGGTCGTGGGGGGGACCGACGGAACCGGAACCGGTTCCAGGAAAAGGTTCGTTGATCAGGTCGGATTTGGGGCTCCAAGTTGCCATGACCTAAACCCTAAACCCTATACTGTGGTTGTGAGTCATATGGCTCCGGGGGTCCGACTGGTTTGACCCCGTCAACCTTCCCGTGGCATGGTGTGAGTGTTTTTCCCCACGCCCATGGCGATCCTCAGTCCAGTTCCGTTTGTAGCCTCCGCCAGACGTGGATTGTAAAACCATGTAAAATCCTCTGAAGAAGAGGCCTGGGGGAAGTTGGCATATCATCAAGGACTTTTGTTGGGAGCCAACCCAAATGGATTGGAGCGGGATGGGCCAGAGTCATTGTGGTGATGAATGCAGCTGAATGCAGCTTCCTTGGGCTTGCAGCCCCCGCGGTCTGTGTAACTTGCCGAACGTGGGCCCTGCTCGACCGGGTCAGGCATGGCTGTGCCGAGGTTTTGAAGGGTGACCAACAGACCCAACCTTCCTTCCTTCAACGCGCACGATGTGGACGTCCGCAGACGTGCCACGCGCGGTGGAAAAAACCGTCCTCTGCGCGTCCGAGTACAGATGATCAACTTCCGAGTAGTGGAGGAGTGCTACAGAGCAGTTTCCCGAGATGTTCATACATCTCCCCAGACCATCGAATCGATAGAGAGAGAGAGAGAGAATGCGGCCCCCAAAAAGTTGAGGGTGGGTGTGCTTGGGAGAGCACACACTAGCTCAAAACCCTTAGAAAACACTGTAAATACCGTGCAAAATTTCAAAAACTGCTCTGAGAACTAGGCGAAACGCAATTTTTTTGATCTGTCTGTGCCCAGTCTCCATGTCCAATGTCAATGACAACAAATAACAGCTCTTCGTCTGCCCACTATCAATGTGCAACACCAATGATAAATATTATCAGGTAAATCTCTCTCTGCCCACAATGAATGTAGCATCATGAGCGAATGAAGATATAATACTATACATCTCTAGATTCAATAGCTTTCCTCTGGATCTCTGGGAAAGTAGATTTCCTAGATTTGTGTATTTTCATTGAAGGAAAGCAATTGAAAGAAACACTTACATACATACTTATAGCTTTTTTAAAATACCATGACTATTTCCAGAGATCCAGAGGAAAGCTTTTGAAATGAAAGCTTTATATTTTTTCACAGAAGTGATCAGATCTAGAGGGAACCTTTTGAATTAGAAGTTTGTACATAAAGCAGTTTTAATATAGCAATGCATATTCCAAGGGATTACTTTAAACAAATACTATCTACTCAAAAACATAGTTTGTGTCTTATTCCCAGCACTCCTAGGGCAAAAAAACACTGTAAAATATAGGGTTTTGTAAAATGTGTGTTCTTAAACTAACTAAACTGGAATTAAAATAGAATTAGGCAAACTTAAATTAGAAGATTTCAATCAAGATCCTTTTAACATTGATTGTGGAATTTGCTATTTATTAGATATTAGATTGCAATAAAAATCATTTCCAAGTTCTCTTTAAAACTCATTGTGGAAACTAGTTCTTACAATTAGATTTTAGTCAAAGTCCTTTTCAAAGTTAGGGGTGGCTTTGATTTAATATCAGATTGTGTTTAAAGTCGATTTAAGATCAATTGTGGAAATTGTGATGCTTAACTAACTTGAATTGATTTTGTATTTGTTTGCTCCCCACTACAAGGCTACATCAAATAAAAGGACTTTAACTAACATCTAATTATAAGAACTGATTTCCACCATTATATAACTGTTAATTGAAAGTTAATTTTCACAAACAATTCTAAAAGGGTCTTGATTAATATCCAATACACAAGCAATTCAATCAAATTATGTTGAAAAGAACTTAAATTAAAATCTAAACAACAAGCAATTTCCACAATGATTTTGAAAAGGACATTAATTGACATTTAATATATTAAGTAATGCCTAATTTCTACAATGAAATATAATAGGGTTTTAATTGAAATCTAATTCAAAATCAATTGCCACAATGATCTTGAAAAGGCATTTAGTCGAAGTTGAATTACACATGCATTTTTCTATAATTAATCTTGAAGAAATGTTAATTGAAATCTAATATAAACATCAATTTCCCCAATGATTTTGACAATGATATAAATGAAACGTAGTTTATAAAAAATCTACAATTAATCTTAAACACATTTTTAATAGAAAGCTAATGATACATCAACTTCCACCAATAATTCTGAAAGCGTTTTAATTGAAGTCTAATACCAAAATCAATTGAAATCCAATTTAACATCAAATTCCACCGTTAAACTTAAATGAGGCAAAAACACTGTTTTACAGCGATTTCTTGCAAATTCCCCTACAAAATTGAGGTTTTGAGCTATTTTTTGAGCAATTTTGTGAGATCCAAGCCTATCCCAATTTAGAGGGAATACCAAAAAAACAAAAAAACAATAAACCAAAAAACAAAAAAAAAAACAAAAAAAAACAGTGTTTGAGACAAAATGGGGTCACTATTGGTTTTTGGATGTTGGCTGCATTTTGTGCCAAACATTGGTTTGTTTGTTTTTTTTGTTTTTTTGTTTTTTTGGTTTATTGTTTTTTTGTTTTTTTGGTATTCCCTCTAAATTGGGATAGGCTTGGATCTCACAAAATTGATCAAAAAATAGCTCAAAACCTCAATTTTGAAGAGGATTTTGCAAGAAATCACTGTAAAACACAGTGTGTTTGCATCATTTTTTGCATGAAAACCATCTCCCAGGAGCACCCGTTCTGAAAAAGTTCGGGGTGGCCTGTGATTCTGTCCTGCCCGGCCCCCTGAGCTTTCCTCGGTCGGAAAGTTTGGGCGAGGTCATGTTGGGCCATCCGTTCAGGTCATTGGGCTGCATCATTGCAGAGCTTTGGTCAGGCCAGGGCCTGCAAGGGTATTGTGGAACACGTGGCACCTTCCAATTGGCCGTTTTCGGTGGTTTTTGTTAGAATGTTGGAGAGAACTTCATCAAACCAAACTGCCCGTGCCCATGCCTGGAGAGCTTTCTTCTGAGACGGCAGAATGTTCTTTGAGTTTGCTTTGGGGATGTGAATCACAAGCAAAATCTTGCGACCTTTGCAAATGTGCAAAATGATTCATTGATTTATGCACAACTACTCGAGAAGGACTTGAGTATAGAATCCTAAAATCTTGAGAGGCCTAAGTCTTTGCCAGAGACATTTTTCTGTGAAAAGACACCGTTTCAAGGGTTGCACACATGTACAAACATGTACTCAAGATCCATGGGACGGGGTGTTTTTCCACCATTTGGACACCATTCAATGCGTGGTGTCTCACCTCGCTACCACAAAATGGTCCGGTTTCTGTCTTGTCAAAACCCAAAACACCGATTTATATATAGGGGAAAGACGCTATAACGGCATGCTTTCCTGAAAAGGCAATGATTTTGAACATCGTTTCGAAGGGAGACCCAACCACAGGGTCTTGGTTAATATAGACCTATAAGTTATAGCTTGATCTTAAATCCTCTTCGCAAGGGTATTTGTGGGGTCTCCCTATTGCAACACACTTCCATATAAAAGAAGACGCTGGCACCCTCCTAACTGGACTGTGTGCTTCGTTTGAATCGCTTCATAGACCAGGCCTATGGTCGGTCCCACGGGTTGTGCTTGGGGGAGAGCGCTGAGGCTGTGGATCGCGTCTATGGATTGTAGTCACTTCGGAGGTGTTTGGGTTAAGTTATTGCCAAACTCACAGCATGGGTATATATTCATATTGTATTCATATATTTGTATTCATATAGGTGTATTCATATAGTTGTATTCTTATAGATGCTTCTGCTGTTTGTTCCCTGCAGAAATTGAGAAGAGAAACGCTACCGCTATTGCCCATGAGGTTTCGTCCTCTTTCAGAACGATTCGGTGCAGAGTTTGTGCCTTGGATTCCATTGATTCGGACCGGGGAAGGATTCGGTCTCACCCACAAAATCACAAAGGAGGATGCACTGGAGGATGCCACCAGGACGCCACCAAGGCGTACCGGGAGGCAGAAACTGACCACATGTCACGTCGGCGAGACAAGAGACGTGACCCATCAGCCGGTCAGCTCAGCTCGCTGGTGACATCGCCGGCCTCGCGGCCGCGCGGTTGGTCGGCGGAACCGGTCCCAAGACACCGAGACGGCCTGCTAAGTCAGAGGTGATGTTCGTTGGAAAAGAAGCAGGCAGTGTGTCTTGCTTGGACACACAAATGGAGAGAAAACACATGCTTCTTGCATGGGAGAAAAATAGCACAAAGCTATTATAATAGATATAGATTGGGTCCGTCCTATTACCTGTAACAGTTCAGTAAACCATGATCACTTATTTTTGGGACTAAGGCCTGCAACCAGGCCCCATCATCATCCACTAGTGAATCAGGTAGACGGACGGTTCCGACCCAAGAGCCGCCGGGACACCCCGTCCGGACGCTTCGGGTCACGCCGTTCCGACTCCTTGGGCGCCGGCTGGGCGGAAGCGGGGCGGGGCGGGGAAGCGGGGCCACCTTCCCTACCGACCTTCCCTAGACCTCTAGGCCGGCCTTGGTGGTGAAGTCCCGAAGTAGGGTACACACTCCCGGTGGTATCCAACGGATCATCTGATTATGAAGTGAGAACTCACCGTAACTCACCGAAGTCCTTTTGTACATGAACGATCCGAGTCTTCCGGGGAGTCTTGGACCTGGCCATCCACGGCTGTGTATCCGCTGCATTGACCCGGCTCCAAGGTTCGGTGGTTAGACCTCCCAAGACCACCCACTCCAACCATCTTCGAAACGGAGGTGGTTCGAGCCCTAGGGTAAAGTCATTATCACTACGAAATCGATATCAAATCACATGACATGGAAGTCTCCGAGTCATCGGGCCACCTGTGGCGTCAGCGCTTCCGCTGCGTCCGCCACCGGTTCTGCTCACGGAGTCACTCAAAATCTCACCGGATCTCAATCAGAGTTCAATCAGTGGTTTGAAATCGAGGCTTTACTAGTATATAACTAGTAAAAAGAAGCTACTAGTAGCTCCTGGCCTTACTACTAGTAGCAAGAAGCCACTAGTAGCTGGCACCACTGCTTGCTATGCCATGGGTGAAACAGATTGGTTGTGCTTGCGTTCATTGTCTTGTCCTTACCAACTGCGCTGTCAGCTTCATGAGCAAGTGCGAGTTGCAGTTGGTGCGAGTCTGTCCAACAATGAGGGGACCCTCTCACCAAATTACATCAAATTGCTCGTTGTCTTGTGTATTTGCAAGCCCTACCCTTCCAGTGGTTTCCTAGAATCAGCAACCCCACTCCAATTTGATGAGAGAAGATAAGAGCACCCAAGGCTGTTGGGAGCGCGGGGGGGGGCGTCTCCCCGTGCTGCTGGGTCCACTCCGATCGGTTCCCGGCGATGGTGAAGGGCAGCGTTATGGGTTTTTGCCCCCTTGGTGACGGGCAAAGAATTCGCAGCTCAAATGAGCCCAAATGCTCATGAAACAGGCAACAAACAAACTCACCAAAGAGCTGGCTTCAATGCTGCGGTTTTACTTCTCGGTGGAACAGATACACCAGAGCATCTGGCTCCGTCCAACTCGGGGCCGTCTCGGCCGAGGCGCTCTGTGTTGCTTCGTCGTGGTTCGTTCGCCGTGTGCCCTGAGCCACCCGGCCGGATCTTGAGGTTGGCGCGGATCGTTGGCATCTTAGGGCCCGGCAACCCGGGACGGGAGAGGAGTTAAGAGCGAGAGACGAAGTGCGGAGACGGTCAGGCAACGAGGCGACATCGATCCAAGAGGTGTGGACCCATCGATTGGATAGGGGGAATTGTGCATATGTTGAGGGAGTTCTGATTTGGTTTGTTTTTTGTGCAGATGGTGCAGGAAGATTGGTCCAAGCATTATGGATTGGGCATTTCAAGTAGTGTGCAGATCTCCCACAGCTCCGGCAGTGTGCTCTCGACATGATGTTTGAGACCTATGCCATGCCCCGAAACCCCCAAAGATTGTCGAGATTAAGGAGAAAGGCGCAGTGGCTGGGTAGTTATATAATGTTATATAGAAAGACTGGGCCCGGTTCAGTTTAGACAACAATAGGATAAAACAGGAACTTGAGGAAAGTGATCCGCCGACAGAATCAAGTTAAGAACCGACGAAGAGTTTGACGTCTTACCCATTTGTTGGCACGGTTTGGGTGTTCCCGATTCTGCAGATGGTCATTTCATGTGATTTCTACAATACAGAGGGCATCACGAGTAGACACGACCTGTACTGCTTTGGCAGAGCAGCAGTGGTGGAGAGCCCAGCAAGCACCTTGATTTTTGAGCTTCCACATGGTCATACAGTCACAACCATAGATGTGAGTACGCTGGGGGGTAACCAGAAGAGAACCACTGGGAATTTGGGAAAAGTAGACATGTCATTGTGAATACCTTAACCTACATAATGATAAAATATGATAAAGTTATAGTTTATATTTTAGATGAGTCACCCTTGAGCAATCCAGACATATGAAAACCCATTGCACGCATGAAAGTTCCAAAATCAGTCCCTCCACCGTTCGCCACGCATCTTGGGTCCTCGCCTGCGTCCTTAGCCTACTGCTGCGTCGAGCCAGGCCATTCCCGGCACACATGATGGCTACGGGACGCTCTGTGCCTCAATACTTCACACAGGACGGGAGGACGAGAAGATGACTGGATCTCACTTGGATGGAGGATAAGAGGATGGTGTTCTGAATGGATCAAAGACAGAGCACTTCTCAGGGTAAGAAGGTCATCAGCAGATGTTTCGAGAGGATATGAGGGGAACAAACATCGGCGTTGCTGCTGTGTCGGGGGCGGGGTGGGTGGACCTTCAGGGGCGTTGTGTGTGTGTGTGTGTTCGTTCTTTTTTAACTCCGAGAGTGTGCTGTGTCGAAACCCGCCAGGGAATGAGACTGAGAGGTGATAATTGTTAAAGGCAAAAACGGGTTTACAGGAGGCCGCTAGTAAGGCCGCTTTAAAGGCAAAGTTGTTTACAGAAGACTGTTTTAAGGCAAATGTGTCCACAGAAAGCCTTTTGAAAAGCAAACACAAAAGATTGTTTCAATGCAAAGCTATTTGCATAAAGCCGTGTCAATTACAAACCAGTTTATAGAAGGCAAATGTTAAAGGCAAAATTGTCCACAGAAGACCTTTTTTAAAGGCAACATTGTCTACAGAAGGCTTGGTCCACACAGAGAAGGAAGAAGAGTTTCGTGAGCTTGGGCTTGCATTGCTGAGCCGGACTTTTTGACAGCTTCAAAGTGCAAGCGCGGACTTCAGTTGGCTTGCCCAGAAGAAGGACACTCAGAAGGTCAAGCACCTTTTCCACGGTGGTCATTGAGCCTTTCATGGCTGCTTCGTGCCTTGTCCTGGCGTGCGAGACTGTGGCCGCCGGGCCCAGTTGTTCATTGCCTGGAGTACTATAAGTTTTCAATATGTCAATATGTATTACTTGAGATCACAATGCAAAGATCACAATATGAAAAGACTAAATTGCATATCTATTCAATATGTCAGATGTAATCTTGAATGAAGACTATACTTGAGATCACAATGCAAAGATCCAGCGCTAGGCTTGTTATACTCAAGCAAACGAGACCTGGGCCGAGCCAAACACATACCCAAATAGTCAATGAGACATGGCTCTTAAAGCTCCCAAAAAACCTCCCGACAAAGTTCACAGCACCTCGACCCAGAACAACAAAAAAATGAGCGTAAGCTACTGTTATTTTCTTGCCCCAGGAGGCTGAATTGTTTTGTGATCATGATGGAAGTTGGTTCAATTATTAATGGACATTGACAGTTGTTGAACGACAGATCTCAAAACAGACACATCTGCTCGATTCACGAACTTGCCATTAAGATCAAGTGGAAGGAGGTTTTGCTGACCACTTGAAGCGCACGGCAAAACCAGGCCCCGGCAGTTCAAAAGACCTTGGTACCACCAGGGCCAGAAACCAGATGCGGGTGGGCTCAACGCGAACCCCATCCTGAGCCAAACGTGCCTGCACACTGTCAGGGATTTGAAAGGGCAACAAGAGAGAGTTTGGATTTGATAGCTACCCTAGTTCAGGATAGTTCCTAAAAAAGAAAGGGCGCAACGCAAAAGATCAGAGGCATGTGTTTTGTTCTGCCCTGCCCCCATTCCAAAGAACATATCACAAAGATCGCAAAGCCACTGCGGTTTTGCAAAGAGTTTTGTTTTGAAAGCGGCCTTGAGCAACTCCACAATATTCAAGTCCAAGGGACATGAGTAAAACGCGCAGTGAAGTGCGAACATCTAAGTTCAGACACCTCACAAGTTCAAGCGACAAAACGATAGATAACCACAAGACTGCAGACCAGAGTCATCCGACAACAACCAGAATCCTTTACGAGTGGGTAATCGTTACAAGACTCAAAAATGGCAGGTACAGGTGGGTCTTCAGTCAACCCCTCCATGGTGGGTATGAGGAGCTCTGCCCTGTGCATTTTTTTGGTGATTCCAAGGTGTTTCACGAACACGACAAATGTTCTGTTCCCTTGGTCAACGCAGCAATTTTGACTTTGGTTCTTTGTTCCTTCTCACACCAACTTTGGACCGGCCAGGCTGGACCAACAAAAATGAACAAGTACCATTTACCACAAATATATGTTATACTTTGAACCAGGCAACAAAGTTTGAGATCTGGGCGGTTCTCTAGCCGTTGGCGAAGCACGCGAATATGCGGATCAGGATGGCCGCCTCTTTCGGGAATTCGAGCGGAGCACCGCGTCGGGGCACATGGAGCCAAGCATGAGGGAGTGGGGTGAGTATGGGACTGGTTCGGGTTCAACCATTTTGGATTTCCAGATGAGGGTCCTTGTCAGACCTCAGAACTTTGGAACGGTAAGTCAGTCTGCGTGCACTAGAAAACACATACAAACGTTCAATTATTTTGGACACCTTGTCCGGAGAATTGTTTGGCGCGACGCTTTGGTCCGGCGATTTAGCCCAGGCCGCAACCGCAACCTCAGCGACGAATGCAGCTCTTTGTGCCCAAAAGGACAGGAAATCATGGAGGCCTTATATAATAGACTATAATAATGATGGTTGAAAACCTTAGTTCAATGGTGATGGAGATTGAGTCCCTGGGTTTGTTTGTTTATTGTGTTTGTGGCTTGTTCATTCTCAATCACAAGAGAGTGTGTTCAGGCGGACGAACACCAACCAATTGCCATGCATCCTGCGACCATTTTGTCAAGGAGTTCTTTGCGGCAGCGCATGCGAACCAACGACGAGGTGGGTTCTCACGGTTCGCGCCGGTTGCGCCAGTTGGTTGTTGGTTGGAACGTTTAACACACGCACAGGGCACGTGTGTTGCCTGCATTTGGGGTGATTCTCAACCCACGGATGTTTGACAAATTCAGCCAACACCTCCGAGAGCTAGCAGTTAGTTTGCAGGATCTACTGTGGGGTTTACTAAAGGATAAAATAGGATAAATAAATAAGTTATTAGTTTGCCGCCTGCAAGGCTGTGCTCCCAGGTCAAAAGGAGGTGGTTGATGAGTTGATGTGAGGAAGGAATCGAGGCCTCAAGTCGTGCTTCCTTTTTTCCCCACCTTCCCCGTGCTTTTTCATACTATCCTTCTTTTGAATTGCTCAAAGCAAGCAATCATTCTCAGAGAAGCCAAGAAGGGGATAGCAGTTCTCGGGCAAATGCTTGGTGTTGAGTCTTGGAATTGGGGCGGTGCCCAAACTCTCGCCCAAAGCCTCCCCTAGCCTCAGTGCCCGTGCCCCCATCATAATATGGGACACGTACAAGGGCGGCAGCCGTGGTCGTTGTGATCTTCCGAGGCATTCTTGGACTTCTTGGCTTCGCTTCTGCAGGCGTCGGACCCGATCGGACCCCGATCGGAACCGATGCGGTCGTCGGTGTAGCTCATCTTGCGGTCGGAGGTGAAGCCTAAGGTTGGCAGCCTAGCAGCCTAGCATTTGAGTATGACCAGTTATAAGTCATGAGGGCAAATGATGAACTCTGGTGAAGTGTTGAGTTTCATTCGACCTCTCCCCAAGAAACTGGAATGGTAATCACAGTTTTTTGATCAGATGTTTATCAGAATTTATAGATTATATAGGCACTCCATGGGACTGGAATATCTGCCGCCCCATTGACCCCCCTGGCACCACCACCCCTGGCCGGAACTCTCGGCGGACTGGCAGTTCCATGAGTCGCGTCTGGGATTATATCGGTGAGAAGTTGGAATCAGATCGGGAGGGTGGAAGACGGTGGAGGATAAGAAAGATACGGTAAGTAGACATATACATCCCAAGATCCAATGAGATATGATCCATCCCAAGATCCGCCTCAATGCAGCACCGACCCTGGCAAGTCTCTCCACCAGCCGATTTGTGCTTTTTTGCTTTCATGGTGGATAGGGTTCTGGCAAGCAAAAGGAAGCAAAGGAAAGGAAAGCATCCTCAACAGAAAGTGAAAGACGGACAAAGAAGGGATGCCAAGGAAGCCAAGGAATCGAAAACCGGAGTGTTGTTGTTTTTCTTCGGGGTAACGATAACAGGTTGACAAAGAATCAAGGGCATTCAGAAAGGACCAGGAAGGAAAGGATAGGAAAGGGAAAAAATGGACCAGAACGGCCACAACATGGGTTGTGGCCTGGGGTGCTTGTGTTCGGTTATGAAGCAGGTTGACGAGGTCACCCGTGTTAGGGAAAGAAAGAGAAGGAAAGGGACCGAGACAACTAAATAAGAAAAGCACAATTATGAAATCGAAGCCAAGAAAAGAACCAGAAAGAAAGATAGAAAAAGAAACGGATCGTTGGTTGAAGCCGTGAGTTGTGATTGTGTCGCACTTCCTTTGCTTTGCGTCGACGGCTGCGATCTTCAAGAGAAGAAGAGCATAGCACCGCTCGATAGGTTAAGTCAACAATAGTGAAGAGTCGTTGTGCTTGTGGACAAGACCAACCATCCCCGTTTCCCTCTCCCAAAGTCAAGTGCAAGGTCCTAGCATGCCACTCCTTTTCCGCTCGTCTAGCATCCCAAGGCCCTGAGAAACTCCAAGGACCTTTTCGCAGGAGATTCGCACCCACCATGCGGCCTTTTCAAGGTGGATCCCTGTTTGAGACCTACGGCGACCGAAGCCTTAAAGCATCCCTTCTTGAGCTGCTCGGATGGCCTCATCAGTGCAGTAAGAGTCCCTTCTTTCGGATGATCAAGCTGAGGATGACACGCTGAACTGGAGAATTTGGAGTCCAGGTCGCTTTCATTTTTGTGAGGGAGAGGAGATGATACGCGTTTTAGTGGGCAAATCAATTCGATTGTGGTGGGTGTTTTTGATGTTTTTGCCCCTAGGCTAGGATACAGAAGGACCCTCCTGGCACCTACATAGAAATGCGACCCAATCACCTTCTCAGAGGTATGTGGATGTGTAGGGCCCCAACCCCTTGTGACGTGGGGCCTTGACAGCCCTGACATGTGGGTGGCTTTCCAAAGGAAACCGCGTGCGTGGACAAACGTAGAACCGATGAATTGAAGTAGATTCAAGCAGCATAGATAGTATAGATCTTAAGTATACAGTTTTGCCAAAAACTTAGACTTCAACAAACATGGTTTAGACTTACCGCTGACCCTCTCAAAGACCAGTTCTTCTCTTCAAAAAAGAACTCCGTTCTCCTCCGGGGTCCCAGTTCTGCCGGGTCCGGTAGCGACCTGTGAACGAACCGTGGCCCATGTGGCGCGCAGTGCCCGAAGGTCGCCTAAGGGTCGGTCGTCTCGGCGGCAGGCGGTTCACGTCTCAGGTTGAAACATGCCTTTCTGTCCGTCAAGGCAACCTCCTCCAAAGCCAACCTCCGTCAAGCCACCGTGAAAAACAACCACCACCACCCTGTATTTGCCAGTCCCATGCTTCGGTGAGGACCGAAGAGGGCCGGGGGGAGGTACGGTCACCGGCCATCCACGGAGATACTGTGATTGAATAGAAGATAGGGCACTATAAGGCACCTTGACCCATCCGTGACCCCAAAGTTCCAATCTTATTATATAGTAAGTGGAGCAGATGGAATCATCCCTAGGGCTCCTGTCCCATCTCTGAGGATAACTCAGGGAAGGTGGTCTTCGACCCCCCCTGGCACCCACCCACCCCTGGCCCACCTTCGTTTCACAGAGGGTGGGGGGTTGGAGCTCTAGGGCGGAATCACCCCCCCCAGACATGGATTGTAACCCCTCCTCATATTGGGGTTGAAAGATCATCAAGAGTCTACATTGGTTAGTGTGAAAAAAAAACTGGCACCATCATAGTGGGGAGGTGGCACACTCGTCAAGGGGTTCAAACTTAACTGATCCACTAGTAAAAAGTTAAATTGATCCTTCTGCACGGTTTTTGGTTGTGAAGAGATTGACCACATGTTTTTGAAAATGAAGCTCCACTCTGACCACCCCCACTCTCGCTAAATAATGCACCCAGGGCACAGGCAGCTCACCACGACTAAATCTGAGGTCCTGGTCGCTACAGTGATGGTTATCCCGCCGCCACCTGAGCGGCCACGTAAACAAGCCACCTGCGCGGGTGCGAGGGTTCGCATAGCCAGGCAGCCTGGAATCACCTATATATCATCTACGTATATCGAGTTATTTTGATTCCAGAAGCTACACTTGTATTTTCTGATTTTTATGGATTGGTACACTTGTGGGAGAGAAGTCCAGACATAACCTGGTCACCAAACCCAGCATGTGCGCTCCACCCAGCATGTCACACCGGTGCCCATGTTTCATTCCTTCGCTGTGGCTCGAAACAATCTCGACTACAAGGTGTTTTGTCATGTCCACGAACAAAAGAAGTTTGTTGCATCGAAGGAAGCTTGTCTTTGAGCCAGCCAGCCTTTTAATCAGGTGATTGAGTATCGGGTTGGTGTGCTTTCAGGTGATCGCTCGATTGTCAATGAAAAGAAGTGTTTTCAGCGGCAGGCGGAGGGAAAGGTTTGGAAATCCGAGCAATCCATGGGTGCGAAAGTTCATGTGTTTGTGTGACCTCGAAAGGATGGGTGATTGGGGGGGATCAAGTCGCTGTATGTGCTAAATGGTGCCTTGGATCATGCTCCAGGACATGGTCTTGGAGACGTCAGTTGGGGAGAGCGTGGATTGATGTGCTCCTGTCAAGCAACGATCTCCAAGAAAGTGACCGAGTACATTGCAAGAGAGCACGTGGCGATCGCCGGTCAACCGGTTTTTTTTTTGAGGCGATCCACGTCCACTTCACATCAAGGAAGACACTGTCCCGCATTCTATTTAAAAATACCACTGATTCCCATCGGAGCCACACTTTCCCTCAATGCTGATGTGGCATCCTCAAGAGCCAAGGTATCAATGCTGAGTTGGCATTCGATCTCCCACTTCTCTTCTCTATTTCTCCGCAACACCCGATGTTACACCTGGAGATCGCACTCCGTCGTTTTGGCTCGAACTTGATGAGTTTCACCAGGAACGTTGCCCTGGAGGTGAAAGGCCTCAGATCCTGGAGTCGCTTCCGCCGTAGTCTATCTCAATCATGCCAACTGGCAAGTTAAAGAAATTTGTCTCCGACAAGGCGAGGGTCTGGGGCCGGGATTTGAGGGTCCCAGGCGTTTAGCCCCTAAGACTTACCCAGACGCGACCCTGGGCCCTCATATGGAGGGGTCGGACCCTCATATAGAGGGGTCTTAGGAGATCTTAGGAGGATCCATGAGGTAGTGACTTTTGTGGTGAGGAGAACTGCAAGGATCCATCGCAGACGACTTTGGCCGCCTTCGAACTAAAGGGGTGGAGACGAGTTCGGGAGCTTCCGAATCGACCAATGGTGGGACATAGTGGGGCCATCCTTTCACAGGACCATGAGGTAGTGAAGAAAGGGTGGGCGATGGATTGGTGCAGGGGTGGGCTGGGCTTCAACATGCACGTTTACGATCAATCAAGTTGATTGTCATCATCCCTATAATACTTTCTGTACGAAAGATGACTTAAACATGATCGAACAATGTCTAGTGATCGAACAATGTCTAGTGATCGAACAATGTCTAGTGATCGAACAATGTTTCAGCACCAAAGCAAGCCAAACTCCTCGTCTCCCGATCAATTGATGCTTCACTTGTCCCAACCAGAACAACATACTGGCTGTTCCAGTATGGCGCCAGCTTGAGATCCTTTACAGGAAATAGCTGGGACTGGGGAAACATCAAGAACATTCAAGAACTGTTTCTGCTTGGGACTGGACTAGGTTTCCAGGGAGGTGTCAATTCAATTCATATTCATGCTGTCTTTGGTCCATAGCCCAAACCATCAGATCCACCGGTTCCGTCGCCGCGACGACGGACCGGTGGGTGGGGTTTCCCGGGCACGAAAAGAGGGCGAACGACCTGGAGATGTTTAGCGCCTAAAGAATCCGGGCCCGAACCAATGGAAGGGGTTTTCAGGGTCCAGACCCCGGCGAAGGTGGCGGGTTTGACCCCTGCCATGGGGCTCTAAGGTCCACGTTTTTTCACCCAGAGACGTCTCGACCACATCGTGCTTTTTGTTCTGTGGAACATCCAAGAAGGCCTGCAAATTTGTACATCATCAATTTCCTGAAGATCAACCACACTGCGAGTAAGAACTAAGCCGAAAGGATCCAAAAATACTGGTCTTGGCATCATGGAAAATCGGCAATGTCTTTGTGATTCAGGCTACTATCATTCTCCAGCAGGATATCACCTGCAACTCATTCTACAATAGACTCCACCGAAGACACATTACATGAAGGGTGCCATTAAAAAACGAGCTTATACCCAGACACTCCATGTATGCCATAATTGTCTACATTGGGGTGGTTTGGGGCATCAATATAGGCATATATTCCACGCATGGAGTGTGGATATCGTCCGGATGACTCCACCTTCCTGATCGCTCCCTTCCCCACCCGCCGATGCCGCATGGCTCTCCCCGCCACAGGGTTTCGGATTCATAACACCTGATGAGGGCGGTGAAGACATTTTTGCACATACATTGCAGCGGCTCGGCCTAGAACGAGCCGCGTCTCTCTCTCTCGCAGCGTTGTTTTTTCTTTTTTTTCGCGGTTGGTTGGGAGGTTCGGCTGGTTGACGGATTGCACCGGACAGATGACTCATGACATCTCATGACGTTCAAAGGTCTTTGGTGCAACCTGGTGAAACCGTATGTGAAACAAATACTGGAGTCCAACAGAGACATATACACTCCCCCTCTAACATCGAAGTGGACTAACATGGCCACTCGGAAGATCATGTTCCGAATACCAAACAGGGAGGTGTCTCCTTCCATGTTAGTGAGTCAGAGGGTAGAGAAATCAGAGATATCCATGATCTCCTGGTGTAAAACCTTGAGATTCCATGCACTGGATGAGCCACGCGTCACCAAGGTTTGTCTCCGAACTCCTGCGAGAAAAGTGGGGAGATTTCTCAGAAATCGATAGTCAAAGCATCAAACATTAAAAGGGGACATAAAACGGGTGTATTTCATGAATGGTCAGGACTGTGATTTGAATCGGACCTTAAGAAACTGTAGAAACTGCCGAAAAGCACTGTGAATACCTTGACATCTTTGAGATTCTTTCAGGGCGCTGAGTGCTAAAACGTGCCAAGTTCAATAGCTGACAGGCTTGCTGGTTTGCTTCGTCAGATCTGGTTTCCTTGGCGTTGACCAGGTCAGAGACAGAGACAACTGACGTTGATTCTCCAACCCCGGTGGCCACCGAAAGAACAGAAGTTGTCTTCGCACCTGGCACATCGGTGGTGCATCGGTGGTGCAACTCCTGGCAGGATTGAGGGGAGAATCACCTGGCAGGAGTCCGGCCAAGACACGGCCCCCAAAAAACATATGTGTGCTGTCAGTGCTGTCCATTGTTATGTGGTTCACGAATGTTCACAAAAAAACAACAACAAGTCAACAAGTACATCTCTAGAGGGAATTGCTGCAACAAAGACCCTCCACCAAGACATGCCAACACTAGCATAATGAAATTGCGGCGTTGAAAGATGATGTTCACTGGAATCCACGCATCTCGAGCCCTGAACTATTATCTTCTTGTAAATACCTTCTTTCTGATTCAACCGATCTTCCTTTTGGGTAGCAACAAATGCAAACCCCAACGAACCACGCGGACCCAGGCTTCACCCCCATCCACCCAAACAAAGCACTGCAGGTTCGTGGGAGATGGTGACACCTTGCGCGGGGGGCGAGCGTGTGACCTACGAGGCGCGCCGCCGGTGTCACGTCGGTTGGCGCGGGGCTGAGGACGCAGCTCGGGTCGACGGAGGGACATAGGACGGAGGGACATTGGCATTGGTCGGTCGGGTATGTGGCTGTGAGCCTGTGAGGTTTCAGTTTCTTGTAGTAAAGTGGTGATGGTGATGCTTCGACCCTTTTTTTCCCGGGGGCCTGGATTAGCCTCCAACTAGGGGCCAGGGGACGGGATGGTGGAGACTGCAAGCGGTTTCAACAGGAGGCTTCCTCATGGATTTCCCAGATTGGAGGCTTCCACATGGTTTCCCCATGTTTCACCATCGGTTTCAAGAAGAACCGGAGACGCCGGAGAGCGTCAGAACTGTGGGGGGCCGCGGTGGTACCGCTTCGGACAGGGCGGATCAAACTGACTACTCTCCCCCCCACTAGGGATCCAGTCGTACGTCCTCAGAAGGTATGACTGGACCCTCCAAACCTACATAAGCAGTCTCCAATCACCTTCTGACAAGGTACTTCGATCCCTAGGGCGCTGTCGCTATCCCATGGAACCAGCGAATTGTCCGCTGGTTTCGAACCATTTTCCGAAGAGCCACCGAGTGGGGTCCATGGGGGTTCCATGCGGTCTACATTGGGGTGGTGTCGGGGATGTTAGGAGGGTGTCAATGTAGGCAGTCCCTTCCAGTCCCATGGAGTGTTCGGATGTGAAAACCCCTCTGTAGGCCACAACTGTGTCTTTTTTTGTGCGGCTGCTATGTGTGTGTGTGTGTTTTTTCCTGAAGCATGCACAGTAGTAATTGATAGTAATTGGTGTGTGCTTTTGGGTAGTATACATAGATTATAGATGTAAAGTCGGATCACAATACAATACGTGTTCTTTCCTTGCAGTGACACGTAGCTGATGGTGACACTGTCACACTCTGCTTTGGCTGTGGGGTCCTCCGGTGACATGACCGTACCTGCCATATTATGGTACCTGAAATCAACCACCCCTTTTTGTTTCGGGTTGTCCGTCACCGGACATCGGAGAAAAACGGACGTCGACATCTTCCCACTCCGTCCTCCAGGCCGAGTGGGACGACCGAAAAGGAAAATATCGAGCATCAACTTGGACGGTGGATGCGAGTGGTGCGGGAGCGGTGGGGGATCTTAGGAGATCGACACGATGAGATGGGTGGAGGGAGGCGGGTCTGGTCTGTGGGGAAGCGCAGACCGAGGTCATGTTCCATGTCGACCGAGTCTGGGAGATTTGATGGGTTGAGGATGGTGAGCGACGGTCCAAGTTCGATGAGCATGGCAGCATGGATGTGTCGTGATGTTTCATATTTCTTCATTGGCGCCATGGACCGTTCTTCTTCATGGCTCATGGCGAGCCGATGCCACATCATACCACTCATACAAGGGAAAACCGTAGGAGAAAAAAAACAGGGGAACCAATTGCTGCCAGAATTCTGCACAGATACCTTTGACACTCATCACTCGTGACTCATCGCTTTGGGGCGGCGAACGACCGACCCGACCCCACCAGGCCATGCTGCCGGGAGTCTTGAAGAAGTACTTCACCGACAAAGGCGTGAAGACGAGGGCAGGGCTGGGCGGCAGCGAGGGCTTCGCGGAGCGTTTTTTTGGACACCAGCTTGAGTTCTAGTGCAGGGAAGGGGCTCGAGACGAGTGTCATTCTGGCCCAAAACCGTCACTGATCCATGCGCGCGCGCGCGAACTCGGGACAAGAACAAGCTGCCGCGAGCTGCCTCCGAGCTGGTCCCAAAGAAAACCAATTCTGGTGTTCTGGTGATAGGAGCAGGCGAAGCTCATCATAGATCAAATCCTGCAGAAGCGAAGACCGGATCCACTACAGGAGATACCACATCAGAGATCATCAGAACGTCGATTTCACTTTCAAGTAGAAATTTATTGAAGCCGCCTGAAGCCTGGGTCGACTGCTATTTTTGGCAGGGGCCTCGCACTCCGTGCACCTTTTCCATTTGTTCGAACTGGACTTCCCCCCCAAAACAGCACCAGTCCGCAAGAAAACACGTTGAACTCCAGAGACCCTGCATGACCCTGGAACCCCGCAGCACACGCTGACTTGGGTGTTTTTTCCCTCCTTCCAAAGCGGGACCCGGGCTTTATCGCGCGGGCGGCGCCCAATTCCGCGAGGCTTTGGCTTCATCGAGCCTCAGGACGGTAGTGAAGACCTCTTCGCACACCAGCGGCAGTTCAGCGGGGACCCCAACAGCATTCAGGATGGAATGAAGGCCGCTCGTTTCGCAGAGGATTTGGGGCGAAGAGTTCTGGAATGTTGGAGTGAACGGGCACAGGAAGGCCGGTGGTTTGTAGGGGATAGTCGTGGGAGAAGCTTTTTGCTGGGGTGATGAGGAAACTGCGGGTGATTGGGGTAATAACGATTCATATCATTTGCGATCATTTGCGATACCCTGTGCAGCACCCTACTAGTAGTTTCCACTACAAGCAACCATGTGCCCTCTAGTAACTCTAGTCCATGATTGTTGTATGTTGTTGTCTTTTAGAACCTTTGGGCACCCACCAACACTTGGGATTTCTGGATGCACTCGGATACCTTTGCCGAGAAGTGGACGAAGGATATTAGTTGGGGATGGTCATGAATCCGTCATCGGCTGTAGAAGCAGGCTTAGCAGGATTAGCAAGTTTTGAAAGATTTTGGAAGGCTTCCCCGTGTTCACAAAAGATACTCCCTATGTCTTGGAGTCATGAAGTAAAGACACCTTCAACTTGCTGTCACCAGCGCTAGTAGCTGCTAGCACTGGAAAACTGCTTAAGACACCAACACCTGCAAGAGGTGCTTTTTGAGACCCTCAATGGGGGGATAATCACTGCTACCCACCGCTTTGGAACTTCTTCTGTGCTGTTTCGTTCCAAAAGAGTGATTGAAGCGACTTGTGACAAATGCTTCAAGCTTATGGCCACAAGACTTGGAGAACCAGCAAGGATTCTCAGTGTTCAACTCCTTCAAGGCTCATTCTCAAGGCTCCAGCTGGCCGGTTCCAAAGAATTCCAATCCAAATGCCCATCTCCAAAGCATTAGCATGCATGAGCATGCAGTGGTCAGGAGTCTCCAGCACAGCGTCAATAGCTGAAGATCTTCAGATGGGATGATCAGCCCAGTAAAGACGAAGGAGTAGCGCCAGGAAAAGGCACTGCTTTCTTGATGAGAAACTGTTCTCCTGCATCCTCAAAGAACCTGTGTTGGACAGGCTGTCTTGTTGTAAAAGAACCTGTCTTGTATAAAAGAATCTTCACTCCCATAGGAGAACAACTGGAACAACAGATCTAAATGTCCATAGTTCGGGTTCATCCATTGTGATATTCTTGACTTCTCCCACCCCTGAGCCAACTTCTGAGCCAACTTCTCCCATCACCGGACTCGGCACAAGAATGGGGGGGGGGCATTTCAAAAGGCAGCAGCAAAGGACCGGACTCGACACCTGACCACTGAGGTCAAATATGAAGTTGAATGGGATGGTAAGAAAGGCAAAAACAAAGCAGGACCGGCGCGGGGGTGCCGTCGACTCGGCCTGGTTTTTCAGAGATGAAGGACTGATCATCAAACCTATAGTGGTTTCAGAGGTTCGATGGCGCAGGCTGGGGGGGTCCATACAAACCACCAAACTTGGGAATTGTGCCATCAAACCTCTGAAACCACTGTATATAATCATTGCTCATGGACATTTGCGTTCTAGTGGACCATACTATATGCCTGCGTTGATGGTAGTTGTTTGACGTTGATTGACTGTACAAAGAAAGTGGTCACTCGTCGTCATGTCGTCCAAAAGGATGCAGCGGCTGAGCCATCGAGAAACGATCGGAACGAAACATGGAAGTTCAGAATTTGGCCGTGCCATTTTTGTTACCAATTGCTATTTGGTTTCCGCGCTTTTTTTGACAAATGGCCGCGAATCCAGATCAGGATACCTTAGTTGAACCTACTGGCGATACGGTCGGACGACCGCCCGGGTTCTCCACAGTCGATCCTGACCAAGTCCAGTGTGAAGAGAAGATTCTCTGTGCATACCGATGAAGACCGGAAGAACACCCTCCAAACCCTTCATCAGACAGTGCGCAAGCACTGTGGTTACTTGGTTCCGAAGCGATTTTGCAATCGAATTACTGTGCTTCGGCTCCTCGATTTGGTAGTGAGTGTGTGCACGATTCATGTTCGGTACATGTGGAGATGTCCCAGGTATTTCCATGGCTCAGCGGATGTTCAAACAGATTCAAACATGTTCAAACCATCTCAACGACCCACAAGGTGCTTTTTGTTGTTGGCCGCAGGTGTGGATGTGACTAAGTACCACATGGTGACTAAGTGCCGGGTCTTTCCTCGGTGAAATGTCCGTCCGAAATCTTCATCCGAAATCACATCCATGTCGAAGTTGACGACCCTTGCATACCACCCATGGACACTGTTTTAGTGATTTCAGAATGCCCGACTTGCCACAAATCTCCAGGATCTTGGTGTGCTGACAATGGTTTCGGCGGCGGCGGCGGCTATGGCGGTGGTGGCTGCGGTGGAAGCTTGGCTTTTTCTCGGGTGAACTCGATCGGTTTTCGGACGGTTTTTCCGCGAGCCGGCTTAGTCGCGGGCAAATGAAGGGTCATAAAGGATCACGGAGGTGTGACCTTGTCCATCTGTCACCATCACCTTCACTTGCTTCACGTGCCACCTTCATGTGTCAAGAGACTGTGTTTCGCGCACCCTAACTTAGATTAACTTAGGTATGTACATATACAAGTTATACCATGTTATACCATGTTATACCCTCAATTTTTTGTGTTCCACTTTAGGGTACTTGCTTGGGCACGCGGCATGGGCGCGTGAATGTATCACGTTTATGTGTCACCTTCATATGGGTGTATAGCTCAAATTAGGGAGACCGAACCGCCGGCGTTCCGACCCCCTCTGGAAGAAGGAGAATAGCCAAAAACCATCTACTGCAAATCCAAAGCCCGCCACAAGATCCCCCTATTAGAATAGACACACCCATATGGCTGTGGGTCATGGCACCAGGTCCTTTGCAAGGTGGAGAAGGGTTTGTCTCATTGTGATATGAGGTTCGCACGAACATCGGAGCATCTTCACGATCTTTTTTGTGTGAGGAGTTCTTCTGTTCCCTGTGTTCTTCGTGTGCACTTTTAGCAAGTACATATGGAGCGTTCTTTGGCTCAAAGACTGAACTGACCCATGGTCAACCACCAGGACACGAAATGGTGAATCAAACATGTATTCCATTGATTTCCATTGCGTCCAGATCAGACGTATCATAGGGATAAGCCTGATACCCCACACCAACCCTGATATTTCTCCATTCTCTTTGGATTCTGGGAAGATGTCAGTCAGGCTGAGGATAGTGGTTTGACCGAAATCACTCGTGTCAGAGGCTAAATATCCTCCAGTTGCAGTCTTCAGAACAGAGTTTGATGTGTTTGAAGTTTCTTCTACATTTTATAGGAGTTCAAGAAATTCAATGGAGATGTACTTCTGCGCATATTGTCCTTTTGCAGAGAAGAACATATATTATATATGAATTACTTATGACATTATGAATCATTATGATCATACCACCTGCAAGAAGTTTGCTCCTTTGTTTGTGTTCTGATTAAAGTCACCTCCTGCATGATGTAGGCCAGACGTCCCGCTGTAAACAGCCGCTCCTGAGGCGGCGGCGGCTATGGCATGCAGCAGCCAAATTATGGCCAACCCATGGGTGGCTGCCCACAGACTCTTCGGCGGCAAGCTTCATTTTCGGGAATTGTAGAATTCTGGGATTTCTATGGATTTCTGGTCCTCCTGGGATGTAGTTGCTCACGCAATAAAGATCTCATTCACCATGTGGACGAAGAAACGAAGATACAGTCGAAACGTTGGGGGTCGGGCCCAAGGAAGCCAGATAGGCTACTTATTCCTACCGGGATCACTGTAGATACCAAACAAAGAAGCCATCCCTGGCTGCCGATCCCTCACTTCCACGCTTTTCTTCGAAAACATCTGCAGGTATGGGGCCCCTCAGCAGGGCGGCTACGGCCCCATGGGCGGCGCACCGGGGCCCGATCCGCGCTACGCTCCCTACGGGCAGCCTCAGCCCAGTTACGGAGGACGAGTCTTCCGTCACCAAGTCTGGCCAGTGCATGATGGGAGGAGGTAAAAAGCACAGGTTGCTGTGCAGATGGGAGGGACGCAGCAGACAAAAGCCCCTGTTGTGCCCAGAAATGGATGTGTATTTTAATGTCTTACTCCCTTCTTCCAGGGCGTCGAATTGGGAGGTCTCCCTATTTTTAATACACACCCAAGTTCTTAGAGAGGCATACCATGCACGACTTTCCCTTCAGTTTCAACCAGCTCTTGCCATGAAGAAGAGATCGCATGCTTTCACCGACGAAGCTTGAAGAAAAGATTGATTTGCTTCCTTTCCTGGGTCACTTTGCAGAGTACTGGTGTACTATGGTTCCATATATGCTTCCTGTCAGATGCTGAATCCCTTCCTATGGACACCAGGACCTGCGCCTGGAGGCCTGCCACCCGGCTGGGAATCTGCACAAGACCCTGCCAGTGCCTGGGATTGTCGCCGAACGTCGGTCAAAGAACTGGACGAGTTGCGCCGAAAGGGCAGGGGTCGAAGGGGTTGGTGTCACAACGGAAGAAGCCACTATAGGTACTGGAGGGCAGCCCTTTGCAAAGCCTTGAAGCCACTTTGCATAGAAAGGGCACACCATGTTTCACCTATTAAGAAGGGGTGGATCAAGTCCATCATCTCTTTGATAGGGTGGGATGAAGTAGAAGGAGTGGGACCTTGCAGAGCTCTGGTTCTTGGAGGAGTCGTTCAATCATTGAAACGGTGATGCTGCTTAATTACCTCACGTTGCTCTGGGGTACCCAGGAATCATTACGACTGGTTTTCTTATGTTTTCTTGACTGAAAGGATATCTTCCGCATTTCAAACATGTCACTTTGATTCACTTTGTACATTTTTCATCTGTGTAACGAAACAGCATAGCCTGCTGTTCGAGAGGCTCAAAAGGATATGAGTCAGTCTTTGCCAGGTGTACGCTGCCACGGGTAGCCCTGAGTGAGTGGATCTTCTGGGCGCCCACAAACCCTCCAAGAGGTACCCCTCAAAGGGACTGCTGGAATAGCCATTTGGAGACAGCCCTGCGTGGACCAAACTGATCGGTCGATTGTTAAGGACCATCCATAAACCGAGCAGTGTTGGTTTTCACCAGTCGTGTGGGGTGAATATATGACCCGCCAGATACAAGGGCGACGTGGGCCCTTGTGCCAAGCCTTGTGCTACTTGAGGTGGCAAGACATACTACTTCAATCGTGCAACCAACGCAGCCTGGCTTGGTAAATCATAGGAAACATGTCTTCAGTGTTTGGTCTGAAGGATTGCACCCACGAAGCCAGCACCGTCACAACTGCTAATCCGTTACCATAGGTATCCATATGTTGCCATGAACAAACTGACCCAGCGTGAGTTTTTGGATAGTTTTTTTGATGTGCGGCCGACATGCGTTCTGTCCTCGCAAATTTGCGCAACCATTGGGTGTCGCAAAATGAGGGGTTGTTGACTGGAGGTCTTGGGGATGGAGGTCTTTCCCGCTCGACCCATTCTGATGCCATGTTGCCTGTGGAGTGTGGGACATACTACTTGAGTCAAACACTGAAGCCCATAGCTCGGATATGCTTGGATACTAATCTTGCAACCATATATAAGATCTCGTGGTCAGTCTCCTGGTCCATTTGTGGACCACTGAGTTGGGAAGGATGATCCCTACTGTAGTTTGCAGTTGGTGGACAGAAGCTGGAACCCAGCCAGCATGGGGAATTCGGCCCGACATCGGGTCTGAATGCTTCGACCCACATGGAACCTGGAAACCACAGAAAATCCTCTTCCAGTCTGATCCATGCCTAGCCCGGTGCCATGTGGGTCTCAGTCTAGACGAAGGAAATCCTCTGTCGTGATGTTTCACTTCGCTGGTTTGAAACGTCGCCTTTCAGAGGATTAAAAAACGGACGTCTGTTGAACGAGATTTTTTTTTTGTCTTCATTCATCTTTCACCCAAGCAACCATTCCCTCCCCCAAAAAAGAATGAGCTTGCTGCTCCCAAAAATGCATTCCGCATCCATTTGCTTGTTCTTGTTCCCACAGGTGGGTGCCGGGGCTTCCCCAGCGCGCTCGGTTCTGCGTCCTCAGGAGACCAGTTGGACTCCGCCTGCCGCTCCAGCGGCACCCCCGCCAGCACCGGCCATGCCGTCCCTACCACCCGGTTGGGAATCAGCACAAGATCCTGCCAGTGACTGGGCTGTGGAGCTGGCACAGGGTGGGCCTGGGGGTGTTCACCCAAAGGATGTTCACCCCCCAACTGGTCGATTTCGCGATTTCGTCGCCCAACTGGTCGTTCGTTTGGATGAGACACTAATGGTCCACCTTAAACGCGTGACCATGGCGTTTCTCTCCAGACTCACCGGGTGGGTCGACGGGCACGACCTGTTCGAACCCAAGCGTGCAGCAGACCTGTTCGGCACCAAACCAAGGCGGCAAGACCTACTACTTCAATCGTGCGACCAACGCAACCTGGAATGAGATTCCTCGGGCAGTTGGGGAAAAACAGGACCAAGGTCTGAGGTAAAAAAAGGCGGAAGTGTGGCATACACGAAATTGGTTGAAATGGCAGGGCCGAGGCTCAGTGGCTCATCATATATTGCTGGACATGGACGGCTTTGTTCCAGCTTGATCTTTTATGAATGTGGCAGAGAGCTAACAGTTCTCACCTTGTGTTTTCTCCAAACTGTTTCATAGGTTTGATTGTATGAGTTGACAAATACGAAGAATGTGTTCAACGTTTTCAAGCGATTCAGCGACGATCACTGGCGCCAAGGAGACCAGATGGGATCCACCCATGTAGATCGGAAGCTATCTTGACGTTTTGGCCATGGGTAAAAAAGAATGAAGCTTAAAGAATACTGAAATTGGTTAATAATAAATTATATACTGTGTTTTATTTGTTTCTAATATATTTATATATACATATGTATGTACACATAAGTGTGTGTATAATGAGAGATATCTACACATGTTTGTATACATACCTACCTACCTACATACATACATACATACACACACACACATACACACACATACACCCACATACACACACATACACACACATACAGACATACAGACATATATATATATATATATATTTGATAGTGAGACCAGACCCCCCCCAACCAACAGGCTTGGTTTGCTTTTGTATACAGTAATGTGGTGGTTTCGTAAGAAAAGCTGCCGAATCTGTCTTCTCCCGCATGCTTCAACCCAGCATCCTCGTTATGCAGAACTGTTCGTTTCCTCGTGCCCTTGTATTTTTACATCGGTGCTGAAAATCTCTCTTGCCGTATTACAGTGGCAGCTCCCAATTCAAGCTGTAATGCAAAAAGCTCAAGCCAATTATATAAATAGTTCTACTTGACAACAGTTCCTTGTTTGTAGAGATTAAATAAGCCAATAGTTCTTGAACCCACAGACCTTTGTTGGATGCTTGTTTGCTCAAAAGCCTCCGTCCCTTCAACTGTTCCTTGTTTGCACCGAAGACATGTTTTTCAATGAGACCCGCCGCAGTGGTCAATCTGTGGCCCCGGAGCTTGCTCACATTGTAGGTAAGCAGGTGATATACAGAAAAACCTACTTATTTGACTAGGCGGTCGCGCGGCGTTGCCTTTTTTGTTCGCCTTTTGGTGCGCACAATACAATTGAATGATACAAATCAAGGACATGATGGACTGAACAGTCTTGCTCCTTACTTAGGAGGGAGGGGACAGGGGATTTTTTGTTGCGAGACATGGCTGGATCAATGAATATGTTATTTTGCAAAGCTAGCGCTTTGTGAATGAGGTCGAGTAAAGCTGTGGCTCAAAGACTGAGATCTCTAGACTCGGCAGCAAGTTGCTTTGCGATGCTGGCCTTCTCCCACGTTCATCCGGAGAGTGGCTCCGACCAAGAGCCGGTGCAGAATCGTGGCTGTCCGCATGTGAAGAAGACCTTGGGCGTGATTGGATTTCTCTTGGTAGTCTTTGGGCTAGCTTCGATGCGCTTCTCCAACGAGTGCATCAATTTGAAAAGCTTGCAGGGGAAAACCGAGCTGAATGTGGATGATGCAATCCTTAAGACCACCAAGAG